AAAAAATTTAGAATTCTGCTTTCTTGAGTAGGTTGCATTTCATAATCTTTAAGGTCTTTCCTAGTGCTAATTTTTTTTTCTGCCAAACTACTCACTTTAGCAGTATTGACTTTCTTTTCCCAAGAAAACAGTCTAAAAATGTCATGTGTGTACTTGCAGCTTATGAAAACCTAATACTGGAAAGTGTTATAGGAAATAGCACACCCATTAAGACCAAAGGATTTTATTTAACAAATGCTGGTGCATTTAAAGTAATATAATGGTAAAATACCAACTTTACTAGGTTCATTATGAGAAAGTCATGGGGATTCCTATCATGGGCTAGAAATAGATGTGTCTCTCTTGAAGGTCTTTCCAATACTCCAGATAGCTCTAGCTTCCTTGGGTAGCCTGTGCTACCCAACGGAAAAGTGTTTTGTAGGTTTTAAAATAAATTTTACCAGTAATAGTAACCTTAGGCCACCAATAAGTGATTGCAAAGAAATACATACATTTTTATCCAGAAAACTCCCAAGCATCCAGAATACTTATTTGGTTTTGATGGCTTTCTCTAGCCCTGCAAATACTGAGACTGAAATCAATTGGGAAGCCGTGTTTCAAATATCCCTTCAATTTGCTCCTGTGGCAATTTAGTCAAACAACCTGCTTGGAAGTAATCTATTTGCAGAACCTAGGTGGGGAAAAACCTGCCACATTATATAATTCACTGAGCAGATTTTGGCTCCCATTCCACCAATCCATCTTAAATAGTGGCTAGTGCTCTGCATCTAGCAATACATACGATCAGGCAATTTAGCATAAAAAGAAAAAGGCCCCACAACTTGGCATCCCCGTGGACATTAATCTTTGAGAAAAACCAAATGGATCCAACTTTTGCCAGAGTTTAATAGCAAAGCTGTCACATTTTACATAAATGAGTATCGGGTCTGTTAGCGAATGGAGAGGGGCCAGGTAAGATGGGGGGATGGGGCGGGACTGCTGACTGGACGGGCTTCAAAGTGGCTCCGGTTTTTAGGGGAGGGGCCAGCATACTTCCCCATAGCAGGAGAGACGAAGTAGTTAAAAAATATTACTAGCGCGGGGCCGGAGCCTTGGGTGTGGGTATATAAGTAGCGCCTCCGGCGCAGAGCTGCTGCTGTGAAAGCCGCAAGCAGGGCGCACGGGCTCAGCCGCTCACTAGCCAAAGGCCGGAGAGAGGAGCAGAAGGGGCCCCGTGGAGTCCAAGGAGCGGCTTCAGCTCCACCTCTGGGACAGAACCGGGACCCCAACTTCAGTTCCCGCTCCCGAAAGCCCGAAGGGCCGCGAGGCGCGCTCTAGCTCTGCACCCCCGCGCGCGGCAGGAGCGCGCCCGGCTGCAGGTCCGGTGCAAGGCGATGCGCACTGGGGGCCCGACAGCGGGGCTCCGGCGGCTGGAGTAGGGCTCGGCGGGGAGGCTGAGCGGCGGGCCAAGAGCGAGGTTCCACGGCGGCCAGAGGCCACCTTCGCTGCACTCACACCTGCTGCTGCCGCCGCGCCGGGATGAGTCGGGTGGTCTCGCTCCTGCTGGGCGCTGCGCTGCTCTGCGGCCACGGAGCCTTCTGCCGCCGGGTGGTCAGCGGTGAGTCCGGGGGGGCCGCCTGTCAAGAGAACGAGCAGGGGGAAGGGGCCGGGGGTCGCAGGGCTGCGGCGATGTGGAACTGCCCGTCTGGGTGGAGGCTTTCCAGGGGTGGGAAGTCTGCGGGGCAGGGGTCTGGGGGACGCGCGAGGAGGGTGGAGGGTTGCACTGGGTCTTGTTTTCTCCTCCATGCCCTCGTAGAGGAAAGTTTCATATTTTGGAAATGCCTGGGTTAGTAACCGACGCGAGCTGTGTCTGCTCTATCATGAGTGGCACAGCCTTCTCTAGGAGTGATTTCCACTTTCTTTGTAAAAGAAGAAGTTGGCCACAGGGCAGGGCTTGGCACCTGCAAGAGGGGTGGGGTGCCGCGGAGACAGAGGAAGCCCAGGCAGAGAAGAGCTGCTGAAGAAATGCCACCGTCTCTTGGTCTGGCTCTTGACACCCCGCACCGTGTTCACTCGAGGGACATCTGAGGCCAGACATGTTCGCCTTGAGCTGCTCACGCACCTCCAGGCGCACAGTCTTTGTCCTCAAGAGAACTGACAAAGAACCCGGGACTAGTCTTTGTGCGCAACCGCTTTTCCTTTGCACGCTTCATTCCAAGTTGAGGACTTCTCGGAAATGAAGTCAGGGGAGTTGAGCTGAGTTGTGCACGGTTACGACTGCAGGTTCCTGCACATAGTAGGTACACAATATTAGGTCTGTGAGTCGGTTTAGGGAGACGGATCAGAATTGGCAAGCTTCCCATTGTTCTTTAGGATTTTTTTCTTTTTCTTCTATTTTCACTGTCCTATTCTTGAGAAATTTAGATCGCATTTACCCTCCGTTATTTTGAGAAGGTTTCTTTAAAAAAAAAAAAAAAGCATGTAGATTTGACTGCAGGATTGAGACTACCAGTGGGGAAGATTTAGGGGTGGGAGGGCATGAGGCGAGGAGACCCAGTGGACTGCTGGAGGATAATGGTGCTTTGCTGGTGGGCGTGGTAAGGTAACATACATCTGAAGAGGTGTGATCCTGTGCCCCTAAATCATATGCAGTGTTGTAAACCAAAGCCAACCTCAATCAAATAAAATTTTTAAAAAAATACAAGAAGAAATAAACATAGATTCTCAAAGTCTAGGATGAATGAAGAGGATCTTAAGTGGAGGTTCAGCAGAGAGCTACACTCACTGAGGTCGCTTGTGATGCTTATTAGTGTCGCAATAAATATTTGTTGAATGTGTGTGGGCGTGTGTACTAAGTGTGGGAGGTTTTTAATGCAAAATGCACGAATTCCTTTTCGCAGTATGGGCATCTGTATAACAGGTGTCACTGACGACAGATGACAGATGACAGCAACTTAAGCAGTAGTGAAGACAGACCTTTAGAAACTGGCATATTCGGCTGAATTCATACTGATCTTCCCCTCAGCAATATGTGATGTTCTGCATCTTCAGAACATAATTCTTGAATGTCTAGTATCAATCTCTCTCCACTAACTTTCTGACCTCTGGACACACTGGAATTAAATGAATTGTGAAATGTCATTTGGGAATGCATGTTGCTTGCAATTTTTTTTTTTTTGAAGAAAATCAGGCTGTTAATAGTTACAAAATGAAGACTTTACAGTATCAAATAAGGAAGAATCTATAACTTTAGATCCCTTTCTCTCCTAATTTAGTTTTCAAGAAAAAGATTACTGTATAGACTCATCTGAATGTGTGAATTACATATTTAACTGCTTTTGTGTTTGTAAGAATTACACTTGCAAATGAATGAATGGGCAGGGTCTAAGCTTTGAACATAAGGTATTTTTTAAAAAACAATAGAAAAACCTCTTGACTTAAACAATATCATTTTGGTATATTCTTGTTTGTATGATTTCAACTTTGGTAGGTAGTGAAAAAGATATATAAAGTAAAAAAAATGAAAGTTTATTTTATGTTTTATTGTTACAAAAACTGTTGCAAACATTTTGCTTTGTTTTCCTATTAAGTATTTATAGGCATCTTGTAGGTGACATCTGGAAAATTTCTAATTAACTGAACATGATCCATTTGATTTGGCCTAAATGATGATGTTGACTTGATATTAAAACAATTACTTAGTTATGGTTTTCATATGAATAATTTAGTTGTCTTTGGCAATAAAAAATCGCATTGAAATTTAACCAGCATAAATTGATTTGTGATTCATTCCTTGAATATTAATCTTTAAAAATATTTATTTCAGCCATAATATCATCAGTACAGAGAAGCCTAAAGCCTGATATTTTGACAGCACTACATATAACATCTGTTTGGTTGATGTTAGGTTTCGAGTGGTACATCAACTTTTTTATGTCATTAGGCACCATTTGCCAAAATTCTTTCAAATGTCTGTTGACTGAGATAAGCTCTTTGGGATCATTACTGGGAATAAATCTGCAATATATGGAAAACATTTTCTATTTATTAAAAATCAATACAAATATTTACAATTTCTATGTAGTGTACTAAAATAATTACTCCATATAAAAGACACAAACTCATAAAGTAATTCTTTATAGAAATTATCTTTATTTTAACACTTTAAGTATTCAATAGAAACATTTTTCAACTTTAAATGCATCACACTTTTAGACTTGAGAGCATTACTTGTAAGTGAAGTGAAAATATTTTTTTAAATTTATTTATTTATGCATACCAGAACTGGGGTACAGACCAGAGGTGGTGGTGGGTGAGAGTATTCACCAGAGACAGAGTGGGGAACAAAACAATCAGACTGACTGAAATACATTTCTGAGAGGAGCAGAGGTTGAGACAGGAGAGGTCTGCTGTGCCATGTGGGTAGCTCCCTGGCTGGCAGGGGATTGACTCATGCTGCAGAGGCTGCTGATAGCTTCACAGGGCTGTGCTTAACCCCTTGCGTCACTAGGGAGGCCCAAAATGAAAATATTTTAATAAGAAATAACATTTCAAACAACCTTATCATCATAATCTGTCCCAGAAGATTTAATATCTAGCTGTAATAGAAAATTACTTTTATATGTTAGTGGCCATACCTATTTTGATGCATGAATATACAAGAAAAATATATGACAATGAGAATAATAAAGAATATTTAGTGAATATATCATTCTAGTTTGAGAACTATTTTTAGGGTCTTACACCTGTACTAATTTGATTTTGAACACAGATGAGTAGAGAATAACTATAGAGTTTGTAATTATTTGATTTTGTGAAGTGATTGGTAGGTAATCACACAATCTTTAGAACAAAGTAAGAAGATTTTATCAATGATAATCTGGATACATATGAAAAGGTGAAAATCAAAACTCAAGTATCTAGGATAGAAGAATATGTTTAAGGAGCAAGTGGATATTTTTGTACATTTAAAGTGCTTTGAAGTAATGTTTTTTTTTTTAACTTTCTCTTTTTCTTTTTAGTGCATGCAGCAGTGATTCCCCAACCTGTTCATGCTGCAAAATGGCATTCAGTATATTTGAAGCTACCTCCAAATGTTTCTGCAGAACACTGTAATATGTATTTAATTTGAGCTAATAAAAATTGGCATACATTTTATTGGGGGGATTGGGTGATTTAGAGGCCTCTCTTTTTACAATGCAGATGCTGCAAAATATTGCAAAATCATGGGTTATGACCAGTATATAAATTAATAGAGTAACAAGGAAGATACAAAAACTGCTGAGCACTGGTAGTACTATTCCATGACATCATCAAAAGCATAAAGTGATGACAGTGCAGTTTTCAAAGATGCAATTACTTTAAGTATCTGTTGGACAAGGAAGGAACATATTAATCTTATTACTAGTCATTTAATAAACTACTCATTTATCATAGCCATTACTCCTTAACTGCTGTCTGTCATCATTTTATAATTTTGCTTTTTAACTCTTTCCCCCCAATGATGGCAATATTTATAGAAAAGAAACAATATTAAATAAAGGGATCCAAAGTGAAAATCCAGCTGATGCTTTCACTAACAAGTTTACTTTTTACAGCTGTCTTCTGTGCTTGGCCATTTGCATAAGGTGGGTAGATGTACACAACTGCCAGGGAAATTGTTCTCTTTCATTATCATCACATACTATCATGAGATAACATATAACTAAACTTACACTCCTTGTAAATGAGAAAACATTCAATTTGGGCCTTGCTTTTCTGTTGTTTGTTTGTTTAAAAATAAAGAGGTAGATTAAAAAAAAAACATTAAGGACATCCATGGTTTGAAAATCCAAGAAAGTCCAATGTTAATGCTTAGTAATTGCTGTGTCTAAGTGCTTATTAGTAAAGAATCCAAAACCTACTCAGAAATAAGCTTTTAATGCACAACCACTTGTAGCTACCTAGCTATCAGCAATGGATCAATGCTAATATTATAACACAGGTACATAAATATGTATATATACATACTCATAGATATACATATTCATGACTCTCTTTATTCATGAAATTATTCCACCTTAGAAACGTATTCTAGTTGAGATATAAGTAAAGTCAGTTTAGAAATCTGGGTCAATGCATGGACAATAGGAGCCAGGTTGTAAATCCTGACTTAGCTACTTATGAGCTGTGTGAATTTGGAAATTAAACTTTTCTGTGCTCCCCTTGCCTCACTATTAAAAAGGGAGGGGAGCAGCTATACCACAAGGTTATTGGAGGGTTATTAAAGGGGTTTGAACACAGGTGTGCAGACCAAGAGGCTTGGATTGGGGGCTCAGCACAGAGAGCCCTGGGCCTGCAGCTGAGGCCACCTAGAGGGAAACACCTTGTTTGTTTGTTAGTTTGTTTCCTAGCTGAACAGTTTCTATCACCAGATCATTTTTTCCTATTTTATCTGAAGGTGTATTTTGTGTATACAGTGAGGCTCTGCATACTAACTATTGATAAATGTTAGGCTTTTAACGTCATTCTTTATGAAAGACTCATAACCACTCACTTTTTAGGACAGAATACTGAGCCAGTCCCCAATGCCACTCCCACTTAGTTTAAGGATAACTTTGGGATCCAGAGGTAGTTTGTAGTGATCGAATGCTTGAAAGGTAAGTCACAGTTAGTAGGCTTACTATTTATTATTTATAACTCAAATTTAAATATTAGGAATTATGTAACTGTGAGGGAGGGTTACTGGTCCTTTGGTGGTGGACATGGTGGTAACACACATTTGAAGAGGTGTGGACCTATACTCCTGGAACACATACAGTGTTGAAAACCAAAGTTACTTAAATTAGAAAAAAAGACAAGTACCTTCTCCCAAATTAGAAAGTAAATGTTTGGATTTATAAAAAAATAAGTTTGTCCCCTTCTCAGAAAACTTAAGGAATTTCCAGCAGGAGAGGCAGGGTTTGCAACTGTCCCACCATCCATAAAATGTTGTTAATGTAGGAGAAAGGGTTCCAGTGCAATCTTATAGTGCATTATGTAATTAATTGTATTAAAATATCCTGTTGCAAAATTTATTGTAAGAAAACTTTTTAAAAAGAAATTCTTAAGGAAATGTTATATTTGAACACCAAAGGCAGGGCACATAGTGAATAGCATTTTCTTTCATTTTAGTTCAAAGATGTTGCCATTGCTCTCTGAGGTCATGTCAAACAGTATATATAGCATCAGCATATTTAATTGTGTGATTCTGGAAGAGTAAGGAAGTGTTAAAAAGTACAAATTATTTTTGGGGGTTCTAGTAAAATGTCCCAAATCCTGTTAATCTGGTTGGGAAGATTTAATATATAGATCCTCCTTTTTGCATTTTTTTCTTCTCCAACTAAAGGTAGATCACAATTGAACAGTAGGAATTCATAAAATATTTTACATGTTTTTAAGAAAAATATGTAATTCAATATTCACTAAATATTGATATATATATAGCGTGAAATATGTAAAATGTGATTACTTTTACATTTGAGGACTCAATGATCAGAAAGTTAATAAAATATGATCAAAATAAAACCAGATTATAGGTTCTTTATGTTCAGGAAGAAAAAATTAAACTGCCATGACAAGAGTTTAGCCCCACTTTTATATTACTTCCAAAATCACTTAAAATTCTGCCAATATTTAGCTCTAAATGATTTTTTATGTAAAGAAGGAAAATAGTAACAAAATCTGGGACAGTTAAGTAAGGGTCATTTCTATACTGAGAATTATCTCAGAATAAAAGTGCATGCATATGATGTAGTTCTCTCTCTGTGTGTGTGTGTGTGTGTGTGTGTGTGTGTGTGTTGTGCATGAGAGAGAGAGAGAGAGAGAGAGAGAGAGAGAGAGAGAGAGAGAGAGAGGGAGGGAATAATATAAATATTTAAACACTTCTTAGAATTAATAGTTATCTTCCAGTGCACATCCAAAATGTATCAACAAGAATAGACACAAAGATACTATCTTTAGTATCTGCCATTTTTACTAATATGCTTTTCAAACTTTCACCTGTTTGTAGGACCTCTTCCCCTCCAAGTGGATGGTGTGTTCCATTTCTTGTAAATAAGCCAGCAGTCAAAGGCTGTTTCTCACTATAAATGCTAGGTAACATTTAATAAGTTATTGTTAGGCAGTATGAAAATCACCTTAGTGTGATAAAGTTTGTTATGTGGTTATCAGAATATTTACCTAGCTGATAAAATATTCTATGAAAGATTTTTTTTAAGATTTATTTTTATTTACTCATACAAGATCTGGGGTGTAACCCAGAGGTATGGGGGTAGGGGTGAAACGATTCACCAGAGATAGAGTGGGGAGCAAAACAGGTAGATCTACTGAAATACACTGCTGAGGGGAGCAGTGGGCGAGATGGGAGAGGTCTGCTGCGCCATGTGGGTAGCTCCCTGGCTGGGATATAACTCATGTTACAGTGGCTGTGGATACCTTGATAGTGCTGAGACTTGAACCCCAGCACTACTAGGGAGGCCCCTTCTATGTAAAATTTTATCTGAATATAGCATTTAAAAGTAAGAGGAAAAAAAATTCTGCATGTGACCTCACAGAATGAGGAGGGAGGTAATCATAATGGTTTTCTTGGAAGATTAGTCTCTACAGAGGTGGGAAAGTAACTTTCAGAAGATCCGTAATAATGCAACTTTTCTGGGAATTAGAGCAACATTTGTTTCCAGCTGTTGGAGTTTTACTCTATTTCAGCCAAACTTGATCAGCTGAAGTAGTTGGTGAGTAGTTCAGTAGCTTCCTGTGCTGCTGATTTTGCTGCAAGTTGGACAAAATTTCCTCAATAAAATGGAAATTAGCTGTAAAATACATTTGCATGTGAAGAAATTCACAGTGTCAGCTTTAACTGATAATATATAAACCATAAAACTGTACAACCTATCTGTAATTTCCTGAAAATTGCCTTGCTAGATCTGAACTGCTAGTGACTTTTCAGTTCAAAATCTGTAGACACAGCTGATATTCAATCAATACACTTTGGAGGTAACATCTATCTGTAGTTGGTAATTGGCTAGCTGATTCTCTGAGTTCCCCTTCTATGCAGCCCTCACAATCTCCACCCCTCTCCCAGCACCCCTGGACTTTTCCATTACCCATAACCAAAGAGAGAATAATTGGCAAGGAATTCCAAGGCTGGCTAACCTCCAGGGCCCATGTAGTATTATTTATTAATTATTTTAAATGTAACCACCATTTATAGTTTTTTCCTTTATTGTTATTTCTCTATGGACTAACAGAGCCATGTTAGGAATTTTAGATCACTTAGGGCTGTCTTCATCACTTAATTTTGAAGTGCTATCTTAATTTTATAAATGACTTAATTTTCATCTTTATTTTTGAATCCTCACCATAAATAAATGTGTTGCATTTATTTTTTTAATATATCAGAGATAATCAATGAGCAGAAACTTTTAGAATATGTCATATCTAGGAATCCTCTGAATGTGTAGTGACTTTGTTCTATAAATAATTTTTACTCATTTAAACTTATGGTTAATCTGCTTCCTTTTTTTCTTAATTTGATTTCATTTTGACATCTTGCAGAAAACACTTGGACAAGTTTAACATTTCAAAAGTGCAAAAATCAAATCCAAGTCTTAGCCATCTTGTAGTGAAAAACTGAACAAGTTGAAAACCCAAGGGAATGCAGTAAAGATATATTTGGAGACTTAGAAATATGTAAAGGATGTAGAAGAAGATAAAATGGGAACAGTGTTTCTGTTTAAAATACAAGCATAGGGCCTCCCTGGTGGTGCAGGGGTTAAAGTCTCAGCTCTATCAAGCTATAGCCAGCCACTGCAGCAGGAGTTTGATCCCTAGTCAGCCAGGGAGCTAACCCACATGGCACAGCAGACCTCTCCTGTCTCACCTGCTGCTCCTGTCATCAGTGTATTTCAGCAATCCTCCTGTTCCCCACTCTGTCTCTGGTGCATTCTCTCACCCCCAGCACCTCTAGCCTACACCCCATAATAAATAAAATAAATAAATCTTTAAAAAAAAAAAGAAACATAAACATCACTAGGTCCAATAGCATTGTCAGAATATTACCAGGAATAACCATTTTAGACAGTGAAATCATCACAAAACCTAATAATTAGAAAAAAATTAAGTAATATACTAATTGTATTAGAATCCACCACTGGGATTTTCATGATCAACTCTCTGGGATTATTTATTTCAGACTGATTTGTGCTCCTGAAGTCTTTTTAACCTTAGTTTTCAATGGTCATTCATAATCATGTCCTGTTTTCCTTAACAATTAGTTCGAGCGCTGTTAATTTGCTCATATACTTGGTGTGCTGCTCCTGCATCCAAAACAGTTAATAAGATAAAGAGGACAACTGATTGCCTTACTTGCAATGCTGGAACCGCTGTTTTATTTGCTGACTGTTCTCAGCTTGTGTCAAGATATTGAATGCCTATCACTCAAACACTGTTGTGAGGTTAATGGCCTTCCACTGATTTCTGCCCTCTCCTGCCTCTGAGTGTCATTGTAGGTCATTAATCGCTGACTCTGGGAGAAATTGGATGTGATACCGATTCTAGATCACTGTGAAGTGCTGTCATTAAAAGTACAACGCCTGAATGTTTTATTTTTTAGCCAGTGTTTAAGTACAATAACACCTTTAGTCACCCACCCCCCATTACTGAAAGTTTTTCTCAATTGGCTATAAATTTAAATGCATATCACAATAACTTTTCAATTCCAACAAGAATAATGTTTACTAATTGTAAGAAAACAGTAAAACTATGCCTTGATTTCTTAGAGTTGCTAACTCTAGGTTGCTTAAAGTAATTTGACTTCATTTTACATAATTTAAAGTCTGTTTTCCAAGGCCAAACCTAACCTGATATCAAAGAAATCAAAGAGTAGTGAAAGCTACAGATAACAAGTAAGGAATAGTGACAGACAGGATTCTGTGGCATTTTTTAAAGTTGACAGCAGAGATCAGAGGTGAATCGAAGACACTAAGGCAAAATAAAACAGCATGACCATTTTGGAGAGGGTCTGTTTAATCTTGGCATACATGGTTGATGGTAAAATGCATAGTGTATACAGTAGAATAATAGGAATTCCATTGCGGGTGGAGTTAGCTAAATCCTATACACTGTACTATCCCTTTCAATAGATGATTTTATTATGACCTAATATGATCATGCATGTTTGCAAATATTTGCTGAGAGTTTATGACTCATTTGAGAATTCTATAAAAAAAGAAAAGATACTGGCTTAAGGATTGGAATTTCACACATGTCCTGAAAAACCAGAAAGTATTCAGTGAGAATTTTTTCAAAAAGCATATTCTAGAAATGTATCCTGATACTTAAAATAATATGATGCTATATTAATAAATCATTTGTCACTAGAATTACGTTCATTCTGACCTCTATTAACTTTCATTTTTAATATATATGCTTTCAGGTATATGTACAATTGAAATAAATATACCTTAAATTTGCCACTTTATGTCATCTTCACAATAGCTTTGCAAATTGTTTTCTCTAGTTGAATTTAAAAATGACATTTCTTTATGACTTGTTCCTTCTTGATAAGTTTGAAGTTTTAGCTTTATTTACTATGTATAACTGAAATTTCTTTAACTACTTTTTACCTGCTGTATGCTATTCAGTTTATAAAATCTGTCAGAATTATGACTGCCCTTAAGAAAGATTTCCTTGAAATACTGTGTTTAAAAGTTTGCTTTTGGATCACATACATAACTAACTAAATAAATAGATTATATGTCTGTTAGGGAACAGTTTTTAAATTGAAGGTGTTAATCTAGGGACCAGGTTTACCACAATGATTCAGCTGGATAAACATACTTGATCGAGTGTTCCTTGTCTTGAGTGGTTGTTTAATATTAATTCTTAGTAACACTATGAATACCATTCACATAATGAATATATGGGCATCTTTCTTTCAGGCCAAAAGGTGTGTTTTGCTGACCTCAAGCATCCCTGCTACAAAATGGCCTACTTCCAGGAACTGTCCAGCAGAGTGAGCTTTCAGGAGGCACGCCTGGCTTGCGAGAGTGAAGCGGGTGCTCTTCTCAGCCTTGAGAATGAAGCAGAACAGAAGTTGATAGAAAACATGTTGCAAAACTTGACAAAACCAGGAACAGGGATTTCCGATGGTGATTTCTGGATAGGGCTTTGGAGAAATGGAGAGGGGCAAACTTCCGGTGCCTGCCCGGATCTCTATCAGTGGTCTGATGGAAGCAGTTCCCAGTACCGGTGAGTATGGATCCTGAGGAGCTAAATGTTTTCTGGGGGTGCTGATGGTAAAAGCAGAGGTCTTTACCTGCAGAAGATGTCAGAGTCGAATAGGCAAAACCACTTAGAAGCGATCCCTTTTCTCTCTATTGGCAGAAACTGGTATACGGATGAACCTTCCTGTGGAAGTGAAAAGTGTGTGGTGATGTATCATCAACCAACAGCCAATCCTGGCCTTGGAGGGCCTTACCTTTATCAGTGGAATGACGACAGGTGCAACATGAAGCACAATTACATCTGCAAGTACGAACCAGGTAGGACTCATTGCAAGTCAGTGTAGCAGATTTTATGTGTATTTGCTTATCTTCAGTTTTACTTCCTGCCTGTGACTCTTTTATTTCTGCTATGAAACACGGAATTACTTTGTAGTTTGTTATGTCACATTGTATTCTATACAACAGACTGCTCAGTGAGCTAAATAGAAGGGTATTAACAGAAATATCTAGAGAGATGTTTGTCAGAGAAAATAATAATTTCTAATTTCAATGTCATATTATGTTTCTAGAAACAGATTTTATGGACAATAAATGTGTATTTAAAATATTTTAACATTTAATATAGTGAGTGTGAAGTAGGTATAAGTCAGCCAAATGCCTGTAGATTTATGCAACTGAGCAAAATTTTAGGTCATTATCTGGTGGATTTAAAAGAACAAAACCACTTTCTCTTAGGACATGGGCTCCTAAGTGAAGGTCAGACCAGGCATAGCTCAGTGTCCATAGTAAAAATCAAGTATGGGTTGGTGCTATGTTCATCCTATAATCCTCATTCTTTGAAATATACATACCTCTAGTGACTTTTGCTGAAGTCTCCAATGGCGTACCACGTGGAGAAAATGGAAAGATTGCATTAACTTAAGTTACATTATAGTAAATTCCTGTTGAAAATAATACATATGAATGACTTTGAAGACAGTGCAACTGAATAAATATTTGCTCAAAAGAGACTAATCAAAACCATGTAAACTCATTTTTAAAATCATTTAAGAAAGTGAAAGTAGACATTAGGCTTTAAGTTATTTATTTTTCAGTTGTTTTTCTCCTACTCAGTGAAGTACCATTTTAACACTTCCAAGGTACTGTCTGCTTGACTTCATAACATGTATTTACAGAGGCAATTATAATCAAGTGCTGCTCTTTTCATTGTACCCTTAAAATTACATGATTCTTTTTCTCATGAGACTGTTAAGTACAAAGGATTATTTGGATTAGAATTACCCTTCTCTTATATTTATCCTGCTCTTGAGTGTATTAGCCAACTTGCTATATCCCTGGTGAGTTTATTCTTTAAATCCATTGGTTGCTAAATCCATCATTACACTCTTAGATGTCTTTGCAAAGCTAAATGTGTTCTGCTCTTATTTGTGATCTTTGTCTTTATTTTGTTCTTGAGAAAAACATAAAGTTGAAATTCTCTGATATTTTAAATTGGCTGAGATTGTGTACTTGAAACTATTAAATGAAGCAAAGTATGTTGGATTCTTAATACACTATTGTCGTTCTCCTTTCTTTGAACTTTTTTGTTATCTATCTATCTATCTATCTATCAATCTATCTATCTATCAATCAATCAATCAATCATCTGTCATCTATCTACTTAGCAGTCATTTTTAACCACATTTACATTATTCATCTATCCTAGAATCTTGGTTATGTTAATCAATGAAGAGATTTTAAGACAATTTTTTTTCATTAGCTTCTGTATTTTGCCTAAATTTTCAAATTATCTATACTTTGTGAATATAATTCTTTTTTGGTATGAATTGTCATTGAAGCACATACACAAATTTATAGTTGATCTAATGTGCTTAGAATTTTCCAGTCCAGGGCCTCTCCGGTGGCACTGCAGGTTGAGTACAGTACTGTGAGCTGTCTGCAGCCTCTGCAGGATGAGTTCTGATTCCCGGCCAGCCAGGGAGATTCCCACATAGTGCGGCAGACCTCTCCTGTCACACATGCTGCTCCTCTAGGCAGTGCTTCCGGTCTGTCTGCCTGACCTGCTCCCCAATCTGTCTCTGGTGAATCTTCTCACCTTTCTGCACCTCTGGCCTGTACACCAGCTATTGTATAAATAAAAAATAAAATCTTTTAAAAAAGAAAAAGGAAAAAAAAAGAATTTTCCAGTCCATTTTACTTTAGCTTCATTTTGAACTGCTTAACTATTTACCATTTATCTGAATTTCATTGAGTATAGTGTGTTTTGTTTTGTTTTTCTTTTTTGTGAAGGATGTTGATTGATTACATTTCTTGTTTATGTAATTACTGCTTTTTAGTGGTGAGTGGTTAGCTTTTAGGGTTGAGGTCATCGGCAGATTAAACAGTAGGACTAAATAACATTTACAAACTATAATGCTACTTATTTTGAGCTTTTTCATCAGCTGTATTAGAACTACACTGTAAATAAAATTTGGTCTCCTCCATCTATACAGAATATGAGTAATTCACTTGTGAGTTTTCTTACTTTCTTCTCCACCATTTTCTTATTGTCCTATGGTTGCATATCTGTTCTTTGTTTCAAAGTGTGAAAATAACACTTCCAAACCCTGAGTAGAAGAAAAAGAACTAAAAGAAACTCAAAGACTATTATCTACTTTGATTTTCTTAAATGATTTTAAAAATGGATTATATAGTTTTGATTAGTCTCCCTCTTGATCAAATAGCATATTAATTCAGTTGAATTGTGTTACTCAAATTTAGCATTTTTAACAAGGAATCACAATAGTGTAGCTCAGGTCAATGCAATCTTCAGACTTTTTTTATGGGGTTATCTCTGAACCTAACTTTGTGTTTATTAAAGTTGCATTATATACTTTTTGTTCTTGGACATTAAATATAGTATGTATGGGATTCTGTTTCCAAAATTTTGTTAGCCATTGCATTAATTGAAAGAGTATAAAATTAAAAAAAAAATAACCAGTTCTGTGTTGATAAATTACATAATATGTATTAGTTGTTCAGCAAATACCAGTTGAGCAACTCCAGGCATAGAGTATATAAGAAGGATTCTTCCATAGTGGAATGAGTATAGGGTAGGGCTATATCTGAAACCTAGAGGAGGCAAAGTGTTAGGTGAATTTGTGTAACATGCTTCATGTGCCTTTTTTCTCACATCAATTGGCAAAAGTACTAATTAACATTTTTAGAACTAATGAAAGCAAATTTACAGGACATTTTTAATTAATTCTGTTTACTTACACTGAATTTTAATTTTATGAATAATATTCTAGGGAAAAAAATTAAGCAACACAGCTGTACCAGAACATGGCAATAAATTTCAATATTTTAAGTATGTAGCAACTGAGGATATCTTATCTCATTAAACCAGAGAAACAACCCAAAAACCTAAATTTATTATTATTGCTTTTTAATGAAGTAGACCATATTTGAAGCAATCTCAGAGTGGTTGTATTTAAATGCGACAGAAATGTGCTATAGAACAATTGTTACTGGAATCACTAATTCCAGATGCAATCCATGCACAGTTGTCTGCTGATTAATAATGCAGGGGAAATCCTCAATATTTTACTGATTAGTAAAGAAACTAATTTTGCCTATCTTTGAATTGCAGTTATTTTGTGCACATTCTTATTCACAAAAATTCTTGTTTTTTGCCTATCTTTGCATGTCATTATTCCTATAGACTGTTAGCATAGACATGCAAATAATTGCTGTTTTGTTATATTTATTTTCATCCATTTTTGCAGATCTCTTGCTATATGATGGTTGTATATTTTCTTTTTACAGAGATTAATCCAACAGTTCCTGTCGAAAAGACTTATTTTACAAATCAACCAGGTGACACCCATCAAAATGTGGTTGTTACTGAAGCAGGTAATTAGTTCATCTGACACCTAGATCAGAAACAGAAACTGATCTTTTAAACTGCTGTACATTGACCTCAACTTTTCTTGTTGTTTGATGCACTAAATACGGCGCTATGGAAATTTACTTTTGAACTAGATTAGAACAAATGACAATAGGCTAGTTTTTGAATAAAAGAAACTTTTTTCCTCCAATGTTTTACTTTAAATGGTAGTATCTAGGACTAAGTAAATTCATTTTAAAACCTGGACCCCCAAGGCACTTCTCCAACATTATGAACTGTGATATAAACTGGCACATTCAGGGACCAACAAATAGTGGTGTGATGGTGAATGTTTAGAGATGGTCTGGGATGGGTGTGGCTATATAATGAAAGCCTGCTATGTAGCCTTCGCAGATTTCCATGGCGTAAATATTCCCATCTTGACAAAATCCAAGCTACCACCGTGTAATAGCAGTTAGGGAAGAATGCACGCCTCAACCCAGCTGTCTCTACCACACAACTGTCTGCTACAGAAACAAAATTCACTCTCAATGCGAATTCCAAGTCAGTCAAAAGCAGCTCTTAGGCTAATTTTGCATGGATCCATGCCAATTAACAGAAATGTCAATTTATCTTAGTTGTTTTGTTATGATGGAACCCCAAACCCAAGTCTCAAAATCTTCCCCAAATCCATCAAAGAGTAAGAAACACTCACTTTTTCTTTACTATTATGTATATGGGATCATGATGGTATTTTGGAAAGAAAAGGAAACATTTCTTGAACATTTAAATGGTTGCAGTCACTTGTTAGAGGTTAAAGAGTAGGTGAAAACAGCAAACTCTTCCCCAAATATCCATCACTGGACCTCAGTTAATGTATCTCCTATAACCAAAGGAAGTGATGTGCAGTTTAATGGCCAATTTGATCTAAGTCTGGTCCACTTTGGCAAGAATTGTTTATGTTGATTATAATGAAGATTTCGATTTGCTAACTAAGTACTTAGTTTTTCAATTTGCTTTTCTTGTATGAACATGAACCTAAACTGTAGGGCTTTTAGTTTTGTAGTTATCTGATTTTAAAACCATGCAAAATATCTAAAGCTAATTAAAGGTATCAGTAGCTAATTACATTAGAATATTTTCCCTTTTATGACATTTAAAAATGGTTAATAAAGTTATTTTAAACTGTAGGAGTTTAAAAAATGATTCATTTTAGAATTTAATTAATATCAAGCCTTTATGCCTGTGGAATTTTTTTTTCTTTGTGTTATGACTTATCATCAGCTAGTATTTGCCTATTTTGTACTAATTTCAGAGTATTACATGTCATCATGCCATTGAACTTACTGGCGAAGATAATTGCACTTCCAGTAAATCAACAATTATTTTAATAGTGATTATTATTCTTTAATAATCAGTGCTTAATTTCTCTAAGTGGTAACTGAGGAGGATTTACTGAAGTGAAATAGCTAAGATTAATAATACATTAAGAAAATTTGTCACCTGAATTATAGATTTAATAATGGACATTGAAGTGGGGCATTGCAACTACTGCAGCATAATTTTGTTTTTATTTTTTACCAAACATGAATATATACTTAGCTAGATTATTCAGTATTTTGGGAAGAACTTTGCTTGCAATCTATTTATTGATAATAATTCTATCTAACCTTAAATGTTTGCAATAGTTTTATAAAATTTTAATGTTAGTCACTTGCCTCAACTATGTTTTTACACTAAAACTGTTTAATTTTATAGGCATAATTCCCAATCTAATTTATGTTGTTATACCAACGATTCCACTGCTGTTACTGATATTGGTAGCTTTTGGAACCTGCTGTTTCCAGATGGTACATAAAAGGTAATTACTATACTGTCTCTTTTTTTTATTAAGTGTAGGCATTCATCTTAAACTTTTCAATCTTGTCTCAAGTTGTATGCAAGATTTGATTGTTCTAGATGCTCTTTGAGTACCTTTCCAAAATGTCAAGTTGTAGGCTTCTGTTTTATTTCAAAATGATCATTTAAATGCAGGAAATAAAGCACAATGGTAAATATCGGTCATTTTTAGTAGATATCTTGAAATAAAATGAAATATCTTAACAAGATGCTTGAGCATTCTCTTTTATGATTATTTGAGCATATCTTTGAGTTACAGGTGAGATTTTTTTTTCCATTTGTGTCAATTTGTCCATTAAATTAACAGATTAATGAATATAAATTTTTATCAGAGGAAAAGAGGAAAGATGTTGGATTTAAATAAGAACATGTTTCCTAGAATAAACTAGACACTTTTTTAGAGTTTTCTAAATTAATATCGATCAAGCAAATGTCTCCATCTACAAAGAGACTGCAAGTGAAGACATATTTCTCTTTTGATTTTACTTCATCTTTTTCTTTTATGACATAAACTCTCAAGAATCCATTAAGTAACACAAGCCCCCACCCCCCCACCAAAAGATGAAAATTCTAAATGGTTCACATGCATTTTTAAAAGAATCCAATCTAAATTCAGTGGTTGTATAAACGAGGTATCTTGAGTAATGATAAGTAAAACCTGGTAATAGTAAGTAAATTAATAATACCTAAAATTAACACTATATTTTGTGTACTCTTGGCCTTCCAATATTTATGTGAAACGTAGTAAAAATCATTTCCTGCCATAATCCCCCACCCCCTTTTCTGTAGAGGTAACATTAGTTTACAACATGATATAGGTTTCAGGTGTCATTTCTTACTCCAGCAACTGTATATTTCACAACATCACCTCTACCAAATGTCCAATCATCACCCACCGTCATGCTATTCTATCCCCCTTTCTTCCCATCTGGTAACCACTATTCTATTATCAGAATCTAAGAGTTTTTGTTGTGTCCTGACTTAACTAATAAAATAGGTAGAAAGATGGCTTATCACTGTGAAATCTATAAAGTACAGAGAAGATTTGATATAAATACTGCCTAGACCAGCTTCACTGTTGAGGAGCTGCTAATGACAAATCAGCTTGAAAAAAATGATATGAAAAATATTATATAGACCTTCATATTTCTAAAATAAAAATTATGAAACTACCATTAACTAAGTTTTTTTTTTTTCCTGAAGTTTGTTTTCCTTCTGCCAAATAGTATATTATGGTGAGTCTATTCTTCCTAAATTTTCCAGACTTTTACACCTTGAAGATCTATGGAGTTTTCTCTTGTTAGAAATTCTCAGAGTGGGAAAATAACCAAAGTAGAGTACCTGCAGATGCCAGAATTAGCTTTGAGCTTAATTCATTCGTTCTTAGATCCTGCCATTTTCCTTTCTTCCAGGAAAGCAAGGAGAAACTTCATCAAAGACTCAACTCCATTATCATCTGAATGCCTTGCAGAAAGTTTAAATTCCAATCTGGTACACATGATGGTTTCTGTCATTCCATGTCATGTTCAAAATAATAACCCTTGTTTCCTTAGCTAGTAGTGACTCAAAATACTAACACTACACAAAAGTCACATTAATAACTTAACCACCTTTTTTTCCTACCATTAAAAAAACTGTCATTTTTTCATAAACTTTGCTTGACTTATTTTCCATTGATGTTAGATGACTTCATGGATAAAGAATTGTTCAAACTATTTTGATGTACATGTCCAAACTGTAATTTGGTCATAATATTTTATTAGTAACAAGTCCTCAGTTAAATTGAAGTTAAGTAATATTAGAAAACTCTATCACTCAGGCTTGTTTAGGAAATGTTCTTTCTTTGAAATTCTCCAACATCTGGTAAATGGAGTGTGACTGGGATGAGGCAGAAAGAATGCCTGCATATTCTAGAACAGATGTTAGAGGAGAGCAAGGAAGTTCAGAACAAAATTAACAAAGACAGGAAGTGGCTTGTGGTTCATGTGAGAGGTTCTAGTTTCTTAAGAAACTAGACCAATGAGAATCTAGACCTTTGATAGGTAGTCTTTGATAGATGATGACTTGAGTTAACTCAGGAACAGGATTGTTGTAGGAGCCTACATTGTTGTAGGTCATTGTTATATTACCACTTCATGGAAAAAGGAGTTAGAATCACCTCAGCCTGAGGCATAGGCTGGATATATGGACATGAATTCTCACTCTGACAAGAACAATGTTCTATCTCACATCTAGATGAACTCAGATACTCAAATTATCAAGGCCTGAATCTGCTTTCAACTACATTGGTTTCAGAAACTGACACAAAATCAAACTTTTAAGTGAGTTAACAATATGACAGGAAAACCAATGGGAGGAGAGGAATGAGAAGGCCCTTAGACTTAAGACAAATCCATTATTTTGATGTTTAGCATTAAATGCATCATATGTTAAGAAAAAAAGGTTCAAAAAGCAACATCTCAAAAACTATTGATCAAAATTTATTGGGGATTATTATAAAAAGTTTTGTGTTGTTTCAGGAGTTTGTGTGTGTGTGTGTGGGGCATGGTAAACTATGAAGGGCCAAACAAAGTTCTATGTTTTTTTTCAGTATTTTATATGAACTATTTGCCATCTTCATCTACAAGAATAATATAGAATTTTTTATAGGAATAAAAATTATGCTGGTGAGAAAAGGACCCTTCGGTAACAAGGGTCTGGAGAGATCACCTTTGGACAAAGACAGGTCTAGACTGATAAGATGTCTCATGCATTGAACTTCTTATGTTTTTCAGTAAAGGAAGAACCAAAACTAGTCCAAACCAGTCCACACTGTGGATTTCAAAAAGCACCAGAAAAGAAAGTGGCATGGAAGTATAATAACTCATTAACTTGGCTCCAGAAAAGAAAACAGAGATTTATAATTCTGGATCTGTGTAAGGAATGGCATCAGAACATTAGCTTGGAATGGCTTGAAATCTCAAAGAATCAGCAAGATGAACTGTAAGCTCCCCCTTGAGGCAGATATTAAAATAATTTTTATATGTTTATTATTTCATTAACAAAATACGCTGTGCTAATAAAGGAGTGAGACATGCTTATTTTGCTAAAGGATGCACCCAGACTTCAAATAAATAGAATGGACCACATAGATAAAATTGCTATCAACACATGAGAAGTATATGTGTTGGAAGCAGTTATTTTTGTTTCTCTTTTCATAGGTTATAATCTAGTTAATGTAATGTAAATTGTATTGAAATTTACATTGTGCAAAAAATTTTACCTTTACATAAGTGTTTGATAAAAATGGACTGTTCTAATATTTATTTTTATGGTGTTTCATTTTTCAATACATGCGGTTTTGATTAAAGGAATTTATCACTGTTGTCAACTGAATTTACACACACATACAAAATATAATATCATAAAAAAGTTTCTTTTCTAGAAATGGTTCATCTTCTTTCAATTTCTCTGCATTTGGTCAGACAATGCTTAGGAAATCTCTTCAGAAATAAGAAGTTATTTCATTAACTGTGCTATAAATCTACTTAAATATTTTCCAAAAAGGCAAGGATTGTCTAATTTCAATTGTGCAAGACACGTGCCTTACAATTTATTTTTAGTTTTAATTTAACAGATTTTGTAATAACTTTATTAAAAGCTAGATAAACAATAATACAGTCGATCTAGAACAAAAGATGCAGCATATACAATGTAAATCATATGTCTTCACATGTTGCCTATTTAACCACAAGTAGCTCTCTGAAGGTTCTGGAAGCAATTTGGTTCCTCCCTTGACCACAAACAAAGAAGGTTGTTTGGAGACTGGGATTGACATGGATGGCATATAAATAGTTACAGAGTATCCTGAAGGTTTATCCTGGCTGTTGAGCCTCAGTATATAAAAGAATTTACAGCTGGGACCGGCTGAGTGGTCACCATGGGTGTGGAGGTAAGCACAGCTCATTGACATTTCTGCAAGGAAAGAAACTATGAATTGGTGTGAAAATGGGTTAGAGGGTATCAATGATTATGTGTTGTTGAGGGTTTGACTGGGAGAGCAAACTGGGTCTCTTCAGTCTTCTTGTTTCACAAATGCTTATGGCTCCTTCTGCTCAAGAGAGAATTGTAACTGTCCCTATGCTCCTTTTAACCAAATAAAAAGTTCTTGTTTCTGAAGAATTATTGGTGTTGCCTACATCTCTTAAGTGACACAAGTAGAGATATGTTTGCACGAATATATGAAGATGAGAACAAATTACTGGATGGAAGGTGTGGTTATAGTGCTTTAAACTTCATCTTTTCCTAATCAATCCTTTCCTTTAGATAATGAAGAACTTTCATTAGGGCAATTCACAACTGGAGTTGGTTGGCAAAAACAAGAGGCAAAGTAGAAATTAGTGGAACTGCTCTCCTTTCAGCTGCTTGGAGACTGAAGGAATGGGCAGCTGTACTCTAAGCTTGGATTCTGCCCGAATTTAGTGCTCTCTCTCTTTTCTTGGCAACTCATCTTTCTGAGAAGAGTGGGAGACCAGCTGCTGGGATCCACTTCTTCCCTACCAGCTTGTGCTGTGTGTTTCTTCCTTCAGTCAGGACTTGGTGGAAGAGATATTAGTCTTCACCCTTTGTCTGTGCCACCACATTGCTGTGTGGAAGAAGAGGCAAAGCAATAGGGAAAGGCCTTGCTTTTGCCTTTTGTCTTGAGTTATCCACACTTGGATAACTCTCCTGGTATCCATGACTGAAGAAGGAAGTTAGTTGACCAGGTAGACAGCTACTCAGAGTCCTGGGGCCCCAATCAGTAAAACAGAGTTGGCCCTGACAATTATAAAAATCAGGAGTTGGTGAAAAACAGAGCCCTTGAAAAACAGGACCCAGTGACAAATAGGATGGGCCCTGACAATGGTAAAAAATAGGACCCATTGAAAAACACGACCCAGTAAAAAATAAAAAAGCAAGCGAAAGTTTTGCAAAATGGCAGCAAGATGGGTGGGGAGACCCTGAACCAATCACCACAAAGGCCATTAGGTGCTGACCAACCAGAAGAGGACAACCTCCTCACCCAAGCCACCCTAAAAAAAGACATAAAAGGCTTAACCAGAGACCCCTGAACAGCTGCCCACTTGGGACATGTCTCTGTTCAGAGAGTTTTCCCTGTCCTTCTCTTTGCCTGACAACAAACTTGCTTTTCTGCCTAACTCTGGTCTTGATGTTGAATTCTTACCTTGCTGAGACAAGAATTCCAGCCCAATTCATTACTAACTCTAACAGTTACTAGGGGTGAGGCAGTGAACTTCCCTTTTGTGAGAAAATGATCATGGGGCTTTGATAAGGGCTTTTTAAAAATTTTAGTTCACTTTTAAACATGAAAAGAGTACATGTGTACTTGTTGGGCTATTTGTGTTTTCAGAAAATACTTCCAATGTGATTTTGAAATGCAAATGAGTTTTAGAACAATATTCAGATAGAGAATTTACAATTCTTTAGTAGGAATATATATATATATATACTTTGGTATGAAAACACATGAGTCTCTACTGTCCCGTCTTTTAACTATCAGGGTCGTTCCCACATGCTCAATGGTCTCCAATGCCCTCTTCAATACATCTGTAATAATCATTCCTTCCAGGTTAGCACAAGTTTTGTTTTTCCTATAAGACCAGTTTCCACTGATTGTGTCCTTCTTTCAATTCCTTTAAACTTTATGCTCTCCTTTATGCAAGAAGGCACGTGCATGTGCCCGTGCACACGCGCGTGCATGTGTGTGTGTGTGTGTGGTGTGTGTGTGTGTGTGTGGTGTGTATGTGTGATAAATAGGGATGTATTTTGTCTTCCCTCCAAATCAACAGATTTTGTTTAGTAAGTTAAGTTGAACTTTGCACTTACTCTGGAAATGATCCAGGACATTAAAGCAGTGAAACCAATTCATTTATTCCACATTTTAGCCTTCTGATGGGCAATTCAGCTGCATCTAAATAAGTTTTGCACATGTTAGAAACATCCACTGTAACACACATTAACCAGGAAAAAGAAAACATTTCTAATAGTTGCATGTCTTTCACATGTCTGATTAGTTTTTGTAAGTCAAAAATATACAAGCTTGAAATAAATGGACAGTATTCCTAATCCAAGTAAAAAATAATTCAATGAAAGATTGTCCAAATTAGTAAATTCATGTTTTATTTTTAAAATGCAAGTGCAATCAATTTAGCCCAGGTTTGTGATATGATGTTACAATAAATATTTTCTATGAGTAGGAAAAATATTAAGGATTTGCTCATGCTGAACTGGAAATACATTTGTATAGAAAAAGTAGGAAGACAACTTAGATTCTGATAACAATAATATAAGCTGTAACTAGATAATTCACAGCAGTTATTCTAACTATCACATACTTTGTGCAGTTTATTTCACTTTTTTCCCCCCTAATTTATATAAACTCTTAATATTATACTAAGTGTATAGTAATGCTTTAACATAGCATTCCTTTAAGAGAAAAATGTGATAATAGTGATTAAGAAACAAAGGAAATGATATACATGAAAGAACAGCTATTCATAGTACTATCCATAGGTATTATTTTTAAACTCACTTTCTATCATCAACATCAATTTTAATTTAGCTGCCCCCAAGATTTCAGTGACTTGGAGAAGAATAAAGGCATTTAGAAACTACTTTTGACAAAACTCTCAATTTCCATGTTCCTTTGAGGAGAATGGGAAAGCTGCCTGATTTTCACCCTTGGGTCAGGAAGTGCTCTAATGCAGAAAACTCTGTATCCATTCCACGAATCTTGGGACACGGACATAGACCCCTGGGCGTTTGGGTAGCGCACACCCTTTTCCAAAGGATGTCACACCTGCCAGGAACCACCTGTCATCCTCTTGGCACATTAATGGTCCTCCTGAATCTCCCTAAAGAGTAAATTGCAAAAGACAACTGTGAATGTGTGGTTAATTGATATAAATATATTAGCAAATCAATTCAAAATCAAAAATCAAAACTATGGTTTAATTGCCAGTCATCTGTAATGATTCTTGACATCAACTCTAAGTCAAGAATGAGAACCCTGTGTTTGCTCAGTTAGAAGACAGAAAAACTATGGTTAACTAAATCATAACTCCATGTAGCTTTTTATGATGCACTCTTATCGCATGGTTTTCCTCACTTTAAATATGGCATTTTAAAATGGGGACTAAGAAATTCTCTATGGCTATGAAAAATACCTAACCAAAATATGTATTAAAAGCTGATAATTTTATTAAAGGAGATATGTTCTAATCACTATGAAGGACTTTGTGGTAAAGACAATTACTCCATGTTATGGACTTTAAAAAAATTAGAAAACTCACATTTAAAGTTGATTTTAGTTTTCTTGGGTAGCACTAACTTTTTGGCATTAGACAACACAATCTGAAAAACCTAGCATTTCATAGACAGATATATGATAATTTTTATTGATAGACACACCTGTTTTCATCTGGGACTTCAACTGATGAAATTTTTTTGTTTTTCATATACATTAATTATAGCAGACCCTAGTAGAGTTAATTACATAGACTTTACTTGCACATTGCATTTCATGATGTAAATGAACATAATGCTTTCCATATTAATTGTGCAATTTTTTAAGAAAATCTGTCTTTTTAATATTTATGAAGGAATTTAAAACCTTGTGTACCTTGAAATCACTGTACAATAGAATAATCCAAGCTTGTGTTATAAAATATTCTGACTTTTTACTACTTCTTTATACCATTCATGCATTCAATATTTATAGGAAAAAGGTGATCTATAAAAGTACCTTTTCTGTCTTGGGTGTAGAGGAGCATAAATTGCATTGGTAACCACAAGTTACTTCTAGATGTAACAATATGAGTTGTTTGGAAGGCGGTACTATGATTTTAATGCAGCATTCTAAGCTCTTAGTTGATAATACTGACTTAGAAATATTTATGGAACAGTAGCAAACCAAGATAAGAATAAACACAGCTCAAGGTTATATGTGACAGAAATTATGAAAATAAGCCTCAATTGTTTGAAATATTTTTAAAAGACTCATTTGGTTTTCCTTTATATTAGAGAAAATTTAGTTCAATTTAGTTTAAATTCTGATTCAATTCATTCTAAATAATTTATTTTTAAAAATAAATAATAGAATACAGACACTTGATATCTTGAGCAATGATTTTACTTACCCAGCACATGCTGGATCAGTTGTGTTATTAAAAGATTTCATGAGTAGGCTTGATGCTCAACTACTGGGGTGGGCTTTCCAGCCTAGAGACCTATGACTGATTCTCTCACCTCCCATTATCTAACTATACCACTTCAACTCAGTTTTGTAACTTCTTTTTGTCTTGATATTCTGATGCATTCAATGAATGTTCAGAATATGAAATATAATAACTAAAATTTGTTTGTATTCTACTTAGATGCCTATTTGTAAAATAAAAACAACCTACCTTCTTGGAGTATCTAAGTGTAGGGTTCGTGAATTTTTCATTTAGAGCGGTGGTTGTCAAACTTCAGTAGGCATTAGAAGGATTGCAAACACTGTCGGGACTGATTCAATAGCCTAGCCTGTGGTGGGACCTAAGAATATGCATCTATAACCAGTCAATTATCTGGACAGAAGGCATACTTTGAAAACCACTGGTCTGGAATTTGGCTCTGAATGGTGAATTTAGTAAAATGAGTTTGTTCTTTGTGTTATTCACTTAAGTTTATATAGAGAGGAAATTCTACATTCACTCATGGTGCCTTGAATTGTGAACAACTGCCTTGCACATACAAACCTCTGCTTTCAAGAATGTGAATGACTAATATGGCCAAATTCATTGCCACTGTAAATGGGAAGGGGGGTAAGTAATACTTCAAAGAACTTATTCAAGTGATATATCAATAATAACCTGTCCATAATCTTAAGTAATGCATTCTTCTTTAAACAGTTACTCCTTTTATATAGCATGGCATTAAAGTTGGACAAAGAAAATCATATGACTCTCTAGACTATTGATTTCTTAATCATGATACATTTTATTGCATCAGATATTGCCTTGAGTGGGAACTTTTTTACTTACTAATGAATAACATATTTAGGCCACCTAGAAATCAGAGCCAAATATAAGATTTCAGAGATCTGGCTGAAAGACAAGATTTCAGAGTTATTGGTTAATGTAACCCTAACATCAATAGCATCGACAGTCATATTTCTAGCTAGTACATGAAGTGTCGGCCACACAATCGCCATTAACTGTAATTGAAGTAGTATAGCTGATTCCCCCTGAACAGTGATTCTATACATCTCCTTCTAAGTGGCAGTATATCTTATCTTTAACACACTTTCTATTTTAAAAGGAAAGGATAAGTAAGATCCAGAGATAAATTTTAAATTTTAAATAAGAAATCTATTTATCTTGAATTTGCAAGTGTTTACTAAAGCATAATATGTAAAAACTAAGTTTTAACTAAGTTGAAAGTTTAACACGATTTAAACACTGACTGAACTAGAGGATATCTATACAGATTTATCTTCTTAAATGTCTATTAAGTTTTGTATTGAGTAAAATTATGACATACATGTGTTAGTATATGCGACATGTACTTGTTGATTATAAAACATTACTTTAAGAAAATGAAAACATTTCTCATGGTATAAATGGTGCTCCCACATTTGTAAGTCATTCATTTGTTTAGAACTGCTCTCAGGTTTAATCAAATACAGTTGATGTTAATGCATTAGTATTTTATTAATTTTCAAATACAGAAACAGTGCCAGAAAAATTATTTATAAAATCTGTTAATATTTTTGAGTGCTTACTTAGGGTCTTATATGAGTGACCTCATTTCAACCTCTCAATCCAACCTAAATGACTTGCCCAGTGTCTCATTGATAAGTGTTGAAGCAAGAGTCAAATAAGAGTAGTTCAACACAGAATCTAAGTTCTTCATGCTTGTAGCATATTGCACCTAAAAATAATAATAATTCTAAAATCTAGCAAAATTGTTGAGCATATGTGGATTAATGGAGTTAGTGGATGCCACATTATCTCTTTGTGGTTAGATGTTTTTCTGTTCAGTGGGGGTGATTGTGAGAGATTTTGCTTGATGCTTACTCAGGTCAAAATCATTGATAGTGCAAGTATATTACAACGTTGACATGCAATGAGTTCATGTTATTACATCTCAAAAGTGAAATATTAATGACATTATGAAAATTCCTAGTATAGGATTTTCAGAACCAGATTAGAATAAGTTTTCATTTAACTTTTTGCAAGTGATTAGCTGTATGCTGCTTCTGACCATGTTCTCTTGACTGTTTTCATCCAGGTTATTGGATACCCAGATTCCACTCAGGGTTGAAAATTAGAGAATCAGCCAAATTTATCCTCAGACCAGTTTTTGTTTGTTGCAAGTCTACATAGGGTTTTAAAGAATTGGAAATTTGAAAATAAAGCTTTAGTGAAGGTGTGCATTATCCAGTTCAACAACTGGTCCACTGCTGCATATTTTTACCTGCCTGTGTCACACATTCATATTTTATGGCTGGTCTCTAAAGATAAAAGACATCTAATTTGTAACCTATGTTATTAAGAATTAGTTTTGTTTCTTATGATCACATCCACCCAGGAGTAATATGCAAATAGACCACAAATAAAAGTAGAAGTCACAGTTTTGTAAAAGACGAGAAAAGTTAAGACCCTGGTGTTTTCCTTACTCCCGAATCATTGTTAAGCAATGAAATCATTTCATAGCAATGCTTTGTGGAAAGCAGTTTTAGGTATTTACCTGACAGGTATCAATTCCTCCTCTTTCATAGCCTGCACAGACCATGTTTTCTGTAATGTTATATCTGGCATCTGTTGTTGGCATTTCTCATTTGATATAAGAGGAACTTCAGCTTCTTGCAATACGTCTGCAGGAGGAGCTGTTCAAAATGGATAATGCAGCCAGACAGTCAGAAATGATAAACATGCATCATTGAATGAGCCACCATCAGTCTTATTTATTTGAACAGCTCACTCTCGTTATCCAGTACTGTGTGTATATATATGGAACTAAATACTAGACCTTGTACTTTAAAGTACATAATAAAGCCCATCTGTGCATTTTGCCAAATGGATAACAGTAAAGCGTTTCTTTAGTTCCCAAGGGCTAGCAGGAATTAGATTGGACTAGATCATCTTTAGGCATTTTCAGTAATTTTAAACATTTACAGTACTGCTCATGGGGGAAAATAAACGCAGCCACACAAAGCCTTTCATTCATGGAAATTAGCAACGCTCAGAAATCCAGAAGTGCTTTTCATTTGGCACCTGAAGAGGTGTTCCTTTCTAATGGCATTCAGCTCCTTTGTGATGCTGTGTGAGTAAGCAGGTGCACATTGAGAAGAAGACAAAGCTCAGATGAACTGTGCCCTGGTCTAAGGGCAATCAGCTTGTCACCCACGTGCAGGTGAAGAGAAAGGAGGCATTTTGTTGTAGAGTGTGCTTCCATGCTTTTTGCAAAATGATTCATCTCCTGGAAACATGAATCTCTGTTTACTGAAATACTTATCCCAAGAGGTTGTAAAACAAGCAGGTGTCTAGTGCCCCAGAAAAGGTACACGATAAGCACTTTCTAATAATTAGCAATTCTATTTGGCTCTTCAAGAGGTGCAAAAAGTTGAGGAGAAGTCAGTATGTATGATAGCTAGCAGTTTTGCAAAAATGCAGGCCGTCTCTCTTCCAGATAAATTTAATCCACACACAAAGGACTGAGGAAGCACGTAAGACTGTGTGTATATAGTGTGTGTGTGTGTTTGTGTGTGATTTAGGTGTGGAGCAATACATATATGACTCAGTTGTGTGCTGGTGAATGTTTAATAACTGACTGTCAAGGAAGGAGAAGCTTCAATGTCTATTGTTTGCAGATTTACCTGGTATAAACAATTTGATCCAGTCAATTTCAAGGTATGAGCATGACAGTGATGGAGAGTTGGGATGTGATGTGCATAAGTGACTATTGCCATCTGCTGCCAGTACTTCTGCCACACACCACTGACTTTTAAAATTTGACAAGACAATGGTTTTGAGTGAAGAAAGTGAACTGGAGAAGTTAAGATGGAGGAGGAAATTCAGCCTCTCCATCCTCTGAAGAACAGGACAAACTGATAGATTTTAGTATTATAATATAAATCAAAGCCCATTTTGCTACTTGTCAAGGAGTACTGAAATTAGCTTGGTATATGATGAAACTGTTTGGGAAAGGAAAATTTAAGTAGTGGTCTTAATACTTGTCAACCGGAGTTGCCATGAGGATTCTTGAGAATATACATATAGACACAGAGAAGCAAACATAAACATGGCAGTAAAGTTATTTTGAGTTTACTAATTTGCCTTAATATCACTTCCTTTCTTCAGTAAATGATATGTTCATGGTTTTCCTAGTTAATTAGTTATTATAATATATTCAAAGGGGGGTGGAATATTACAAAGATAAGTTGCTTGAACTCATAAGCTGAAGTCCATAAAATTTGTTAAATTTGCCATCACGCTAAAAGTATTTAAACATGAGCCAGTTGTTTGTTCCTAAATGAGATTGACTTCAGACACAGTTTTTTCCTTGGCTCCATGTCACTCTTGCAGTCTTTCTTAAGTCAATAAAAGTCTATCTTTGGTGCCAATAAATAAATGTGAGCCATGTTTACTCACATCTTTCAAAAACTACCCATTTCCTACAGAATGAAGAGTCCTAAATTTTGTTAGTGGATAATTTGCTTTTGAAGAGTCTACATTATGGTCATTATGTCTTTTAGTTTGAAATCTAGTCAAGAAAATATCTATATAGGAATCATTTTTTACTCTTTAGATTACAACTATAATGAATCATGACATTTTTCATAGGGAGGAAATAAAAGAATAGACTGTCAGACTTCAATACACTGTATGGACAGCAGATATGAGGCATTTTCAGCAATGGCCTTTGTCAGAGAAGAATTTTTTTAAAAAGATTTATTTATTTATACATACAAGACCTGGGCTATACACCAGAGGTGTGGGAGGCGGGGTAAGAGGATTCACCAGAGAAAGTGTGGAGCAGAACAGGCAGATCTATTAAACTACACTGCTGAGGCAGGCAGCGAGCAACATAGGAGAGGTCTGCTGCGGCATGTGGGATAGCTCCCTGGCTGGCTGGAGATCAAACCCGTGCTGTAATGGCTGACGATAGCTTGATAGTGCTGTGTCTTTAACTTCTGTGCACTAGTGGAGAATCTTTGTCAAAATCATGGGGCAAGGATTTGACTTAGAACTTGTTACTTTCTTTTATAAGAACCAAGGGTATTTTAGCTGTGCATGCTTTGCTTTGGGACCTGCACCTTTCAGCAAAGTTTTGTGCCTTTTCATTTTTCTGATTTATTTTATTATTTACTTTGCTACATTGTTGTTCATTGTTGGACAGTATTTGATATCTCCCCTAAAAGTGTAATTCCTCCCACCACCATAGCACCCAAGATCCACTGTGTGCCGCCCTTCTATCTTAAATGCAGTTAGGATTATTAAATACTTGGCAGTAATCAGTGGTGACTCTAGAGGCCAGGTTCTCCAGCAAATTATAGTGACTTTCCTTTTTGGTTAATTATTAAAGAGTAGTCAGATTCCTGACCTACATAGAGTATCTCCCATTAGGAATTCTGTAGCCAGTAAGCATTGTAGTTACATTTAGACATAAGGAGTTTGGAATCTATTTTCTTTAACTTTTTAAACTCTAGTCATTCAGGCAACATGGATGGAATTGGAAGGTGTTATATGCTAAATGAAATTAGGAGAAAGACACTGGATGGTGTCACTTACATGTGAACTATAGAGAAACCTAAAAAAGGTTCAGTAAAGGGTTTCCCTGGTGGCTCAAGGGGTAAAGTTTCAGCACTATGAAGCTATCTGCAGCATGAGTTTGATTCCTGGCAAGGCAGGTAACCCACAGGACACAGCAGATCTCTTCTGTCTTCCTGCTGCTCCCTTCAGCCGTGTATTTCAATAGATGTGGCTGTTCTGCTCCCCACTCTGTCTCTGATGAATCCTCTCACCCCCTGCACCTCTGGCCTACACCTCAATTCTTATATGCATAAATGAAGAAATCTTTAATAAAAGGGAGGGTCAGTAAAGCCAAATTAAAAAAATTAAGCCTTGAAACTTTACTACAGAAGGCAACCAGAGCAGCCAAGGGAGGGGGAAGGAAAGGGGGAGAATAAATAAGGGAGAGACAAAGGGTCTGTGGAGGTGGATTGTGGATGTTAGGCTGGTGGGTGTGCTATGGCAACAGCTTCTGAAGGGGGCGATCCTACACTTCTGAATGCAAACAATGAGGCAAATCAATGTTAACTCAATAAACAAATACTAATTAAAAATGTTAGATTAGTTTTAATATGCATCCTCTCTGTTTTTAGAAAAATGTGATATTAAAGAATGCTAGTGAATCAATGGTATATCAATTTCTAGTCTTCAGTGTAAGATTGGTACCATGTCTGAGTCTTCTCAGTAGGCAGAATCAGCATGTTGAAGCTCCAGGAATTCCTCTCTCAAACTCATTTAGGGAATACGAGTTTAAGGTCATTACATGATACATACAGGTTCTTTAATTGAGGGATTATAACAGATAATAATTGGCTTTCAATGAGACTTTATCCATGTACTTTATAAATAAACTCCTATAACATTTAATTATATTTATTTTGAATAGATGTATTTTTCTTTTATCAGTATTTATAATACCAAAATTAGATATCAAATTCACCTCCAAAGGAGTACAGTTTTATAATATGTACAGTTTTATAATACAATTAGAAAAAAAGGTTTTAACTGTGTAGATACACAATATATGTGTCTTAGTCTGTTAGTACTTTAAAGAAAATACTGCAAAAAGTTATAAATGTCAGAGATACCACAGAATGGCACCATAGCATGCATTTTACTACTAAGCACTTTATTTTCAGAGTCTGACAATTTACCTTGAGAAGAAAGTCTACCCCAGCCAGCAATAGAACACTTTTTTCCTGCAGGAAAAACTTGATTTTCTCTTGGTAAGCAAAATAGGTTGTATATAATCTGGAAAAATAAAACAAACAAAACACAAAACTCTTACATGTGTATTTTTAATGAGTGAAAAATCAATCACTTTCAATATTTCATCTAAAAAGCATACATTTTTGTTTATCCTGCCTTAACATTTTCTTCACCTGGGTCTTAGTGGAAAGAAGCATTTCAGAGCATACTTCTTTTTAACAATGAATTAGGGACCACGGTGTGGTTTTAAGGTCTTCAACAGCGTCTCTCTAGTTACTCTTTTAAAATGTAAACAGTCCTTAATCAAATTAAAGAGCTTTTGCACAGCAAAAGAGACAATAACAAAAACAAAGAGAAACCCACCAACTGGGAGAACATTTTTGCACCAACACTAATGATAAAGGACTGATCACAAAAATCTGCAAAGAGCTGATGAGACTTCCAACAACAAAGAAAATAACCAGTCAAAAAATGGGCAGAAGAGCTTAAAAGAAACTTCTCTGAAGAGGAAATGCAAATGGCAACAGGCATTAAAAAATGTTCAACATCACTGTCATCAGGAAATGCAAATCAAAACTACCATGAGATAATCATTTACACCCATGAGAATGGCACATATTAAAAAACTAGCAACAACAAATGTTGCGAGGGTGTGGAGAAAAAGAACACTTCTGCACTGTGGTGGACGCAATGTCCAACACTGTGGAAAGCTGTATGGAGATTTCTGGACCTACTAAACATAGAGCTTCCATATGATCCAGCAATTCCACTCCTAGGTATTTACCCAAAGGACACCGAAATCATCATTCACAGACACCTGCACCCCTATGTCTTATAGCAGCACTGTTTACAAGCTAAGCTTTGGAAACAACCCAAATGCCAAAAATAGATGACTGGATCAAGAAGATGTGGTACATATATACCATGGAATATTACTCAGCATTCAAAACTAAACACATGCAATTTGCAGCAACATGGATGGCGCTGGAAGGGATCATGCCTCAGCGAAATAAGCCAAAAAGAAAAAGAAAAATACCGGATGGTCTCACTCATAGCAGGAATCTAGAAAACTTAAATAAGGGACAGGAAAACAAATAACTATAAGAAGTGAAAATCAAAATCAACAAAAAAACTATGAACCAGAGACACTTTTAGGGGGGCGGGGTGGGAGGGGAGGGATTGGGGTCAAAAGGGGGGGCTGCAATTGTAAGGGAAATATAACAATAAAATTTATTAAAAATTAAAAAAAAAAAAGTAAAAAAAAAAATAACAAAAAAAAAAAAATGTAAACAGTCCTAATTCTGGAGTTAATCATTTATTTTGATTTTTTTTAAATAATGGTAGCAACAGAGTGAGTAGTGCCAGTTCTGTAAAAATAGGCTGTTTTTTTTTTGAGATCAGTCAAAGTCAAAACTTGGGGAAATGTTCTGAGCTGTTTTGATTTTCCTAGATTAAATATCCACTTTTAAGAAGGCTTTTCTGTGATTGCTGTACAGGCAGCTAGGACAGCATGAGCGTGGTCACTGGCTTTAAATCCTTCAACAATTACCAAGTACTAGACATTCATTAGACTGCGGAGTATGGAAGACCCAGGGCAGACACCAACATGAGTAAGAAATGAAATGCAGTGTTTAATCATCAAGGACAAGGCCCACACACAACTATAGTATTATTCTGCCTTTGACAAATGCCATAATAATTGCTTAGTCCAATCCCACAGGGCATGAGAAGGCACACTCTGTCTTAACTGGACACGGAGAGCTTCTGAGTCAAGACTGGAACTGTGGGCCTCCGTGGTGCGCAAGGGGTTAAGCACACAGCACTATGAAGCAATCTACAGCCTCTGGCAGCATGAGTTTGATCCCCAGGCTGGCCAGGGAGCAACCCACATGGCGCAGCAGACCTTTCCTGTCTCGCCTGCTGCTCCCTCAGCATGTGTGTTCAGTCAGTCTGCCTTCTGCCTGTCTGTTCCCTCTCTGTCTCTGCTCACACCTCCTCTCACCCCCTGCATCGATCTGGCTTGCCCCAGCTCTTATATGCATAAATAAACAAACCTTATAATAAATTAAAAAAAAAAAAGACTGGAATTGTGCAGAGCTCCTCAGGATAAAGTGCACTCCCTCAGATGATTTCTTGTACATTATCTAGGCTTTGGGAGGGAGTCTCCCATCTGCACGCTATTCATATTGAATCTCATTTTAAAAAATCCCTTCTTAGAACATATGCCTCTTGTCTCCTTTGTCCTGAGCAGGTCTACTCAGGCCTATGTGGCAGATGGCCCTGCCTTCTTTAAATGAGAAATAGACAGGACGTGCATTATAATAAGGACTACTTTTCTCCCACTGCTCTTTTCAGTTTACTGCTATAATGGACTCTAATTTTATTCTTCTGGTCACTTTCTAGAAAATTGGATTTAAACACCTCAATGAAGGTAATTTAATATGTTTCTCTCCATTCCCCAATTCCATTTAAATTATAATGATTTCTGTAACAAATTATCCAACTTTTATGGACTATTAATGTATTCATGCTGGTAATATTTTAAATATTTTAAATCAAATGCTGAATTAATTTCTGCAGATAAGAGGATTCAAAGCGACTTATTTTACCTGTGTAATTCACTTTAAATTCGAGGTGCATCATGGCGATGTCACTGTCCTTAACCCTTTTATTATAATGTGGATTTATGATAATTTGGTCTATCAACCGTGTTTCGATATGAGGAGAACTCAGGTTTGATGCCATATGCAGGCCCAGAATTGCTTTCCACTGAGTTGGTGGTTCATTGCGCCTGAAGAGGATAGGAAAAAGGTAAGAAACTCTATCCACCACACTGTTACTGTCTAAGAGATCTTTGGCATTGATATTTCAGAACTATGTGTTCACATCTTAAAATATACTGGAAGGCCACTGCATCATTCACCTTAAAAATATTTCTGGTGGCACAGGCGGTTGAGCGCCACACTGTGAAGCTGTCCGAAGCCTCTGCAGTGTGGGTTTGATCCCAGCTGGCCGGCCGGCAAGAATCCCACATGGCACAGCAGACCTCTCCTGTCTCACCCGCTGCTCCCCTCAGCAGTGTATTTTGTCAGCCTGCCTGTTCTGTTCCCCACTCTGTCTCTGGTGAATCCTCTCAACCCCACACCTCTGGCCTGTACTCCAGTTCTTGTATAAATAAATCTTTAAAAAAATAAATATTTCTTTAATTTTTATCTTTCTGATCAAATCATAGAGGAAACCTTAGTTAGTCTTCATCTTTTTCTCTTCTAAACATCTCTTGATCTCTAGTTCTAGATTGTGGTTCTAAACTTTGGAACCACATTTGAGTCACTTGCTACCTTTAATTAAACAAAATATTTTAATTTTAATGTTGGGGTTACAATTTCACTCCTCCTTATATTCACAAGTTCCTCTCACCCCCCACCAAACCATTCAAATCAATACCCACTTCTTCCTCTCCCCTCTCCCTAATGGTAACCATTAAATTCTTTCATTAAGGCCAAGATTTATTCCTGCTTTATTTTGCTCATGTATGTTTTTTTGTTATTTATATTCCACAGATGAGTGAAATCATCCAATAATTGTCTTTCACTTTTGACTTGTTTCACTTAACATAATCATCCTGAGGTCCGTTCATTTTGTCCCAAATGCCATTTCACCCATTTTAACTTATTTGTAGTATTCCATTGAGTAATACATTGGTTTTACAAGCAATGTGAATTATATGCACAAAATTCTAAGGAAAAAGAGGTCTCAATCAAATGTGATTCAAGATGACGAATTAATTGTCAAAGTAGAGGTAATTTCAGAGATCTGATATTGGAACAATTTATTGAATATTTTATTGAAAATAAAACTTGTGTGGACTAATAGTTATCACAAGATACCTATAAATAATAAATATGCTATTTAAAATAATGCTAATAGGATAGCATCAAGGAAATGGCTTACACACTATGGGCCAAAAGAGACCGGAGAATATAAATTTTGAGGGATTGATATCAGATTAGAAACTGATAAAATTTATGAGGAAGGAATAAGTCTAAAAAGTTTTAGCAATACAGTGAGATAATTTTAACTATCAAAAATATGCCTAAAAGCTTAAACTTGAAATACCTTAAAAAAGGAACCATCTTTTCAGTAACCAAAAACTATTAAGTCACTAACCTAATCTTGAAATCTAATAAGCTAAGAAAACACCCTTCTTTCTGCCAAAATTACTATAACCTTGATCTGCAAAGATTATTATAATCTTGAACAGGTTGTATAGTATTTCTGAAACCTGAATGAGATATATATTATTACTGTAAACTCTTACAGTAATAAAAGTAGAGAGAGAAGTGAATCAAGCCAATAATGCTTATATTTTGACTGTAGGTTTAAGTGCAAATAAAATAACTTTATAGTAACTATTTTTGTGTATAATGTGCTCTAGTCCTAGAAGTGTTTGAAGCACTCAAAAACCCAAATATTAAATTTCAGTAGAAGCATCATTTAATTAATGCTATTTTATCAGCAATGCTAATGTTTAAAAAATTTGTTTCAAAGTTTTATTAGTATTACCAGTTTATTTAATTTAGCACTAAAGTATAAATAGTGTCCATTTCTTGCTATACCTCAAAACATATCATATATATGAAATCATCAGTTTCAAGATTGTTAACATCCATTTATGGAATCATTTCAATAAGGAAGAAGATAATTCATATGATATATTTGCTCTTCTTGAAGAGTTCAATTAAAGGTGGAAGATTGACAAGGGGCCTCTCTGTGTATTATTTAACCATTAATGGATTTCTATTCAATAAATGTTCTCCAGACTATAAATCTATGCAGGACTGCTCACTCAAGTGACTGAATAGTGTTTTTTTGTTTTTTCTTTTTCCTGAAAGCAGGGATGATGATTGACCTAGAAAGAGTAGTATGCAACTTTCCAAGAAATGAAAATGTTTTAATGTCTTGATGGGAGTTTAGGTTACTCAGGTGTATACATTTTAAAAACTCCTCAAATTCTGTACTCAAGATTGTGCATTTTGCTATATATCAGCTGGGAAAAAAATGGAAACAAATACGAAACTCTACTTGGCAAGCTGGCTTTATACAGTGGTATGGGTTAGCAAATTTCAAACTACATTTTGTGTTTGAAGCTTGAGCAAATACATATATATATTGTGGATGTCAGGAGCAAGGTATCTTATTATTGGAGATAACATTTAAAAATATGTAAAGATATACAACTAGAATGTACCCTATGGTACTATGAGTCAGAGCTGTCATTTGGAGTCCTACTTACAACCATATAGCCACATGCATTGAGCGGACACATCAACAGTGGCAAGGAGCATGATGCAATTTTTTATCGCATATTTTTATGCTTTGTATGATTCATAGCATGCAAAAGTATTACAGCATCTTAACTTCATCTTGACAATCACCCTAAGAGGTAGATTTATTAATGGTCACCCTACAGAAAGGAAACTGAAACTAAATACTAAGTTACTGGTCTATAATTGCATATGAGGTCCGTAGTGTTGACAGGATCAAAGTCCTCTCCTCTGATTCAAAGTGAACCTGGACATTCAAATCACAGCAAAGTTGGCCAATACTTTCCACACCTCTCCTTTATGCAGGACTGCATAAGAGATGCAGTCCTCTTCTCAAAAGAAGAGAAGTCAGTGATCATGAACTAGAACAGGTGTACAGATGTTTCAGGTAATCCAGGCACAATGAAGCTGAGGAATGGGAATAGCAATCACACAAGAATATAGACAGCAAAGAACTATGCAATTAAACTATTAAATGACCTGTAGGTTTAAATACCTGGAACAGATTTATATTGAGGATATGTATGATTTCAATAACTTGCTTGATCTCAATTCCTTTGATTAGGAAATTAAGTTTTTTATTGAAGAAAGGATTTAAAAAAGACAAATAACAAGCAATATTAGCATACAGTAAAATATGTATTTTGATGAAACTAAAATAATACAAGAAACACGAAGTAGACAGCAAGGAAAACTGGCAACTGGAGAAAAAAATAATGCCCTTTAGTGACTAAGGGAGAATAAAGTACAAGGTTGATGAGGATGTTACAATTTATCACAATTCAGTTATAACTTACATTTGCTATGTTCAAATTGAAACGGTGTAAAAAAGACCTTTTATGGCCTATATGACTGTACATATGTTTATATTAGAGGAAACTGCTTTTCTATTCCTTTCATATATTTGAGGTTTGAAAAGTAATGACACTGGTATCACTGACCCACAATAAGTCCACCTGTAAGGTGGATAATTGAAAGATGTCATTAGTATTACTGCAAGCCTGGTTGACATTCAAAAGCATATGATATACATGAACATCAAACAGATGAATTTATCAAATATGAGATTAATACAAGGCATTTCAACTAACAACAACCTATGTGCAACAGAAAACAGTGAATTATTAACTAAAGATACCTTTACTTACAAATTCGGATATAGGCGACCACTTATGGCATGCCCAAGGCACAGAGTTTGTATAAGTAAAGGTTCAAATCATGTTTAGCAAGGAAATGAACTGTTACTGACATTTGTTATGTTATGGGTGAAAGCAGATCAATTATTAGGAGGAAGCAAAGTAAAGAAAGTGCCCTTTAGATATGGAAGAGCTGTAGTTTACTGACCCAGATACAGGGTGTAATGAATATAAGAATCAGACTTAGATGGGGCAGTATTGTGAGGAGTCAGTTCCTTGAGAGGCCAGGTTACTGACCAACTGGAATCTAGCTGAGGGTCTTCATTTCCAGGTTCCTAGAATTGTGAGTTCAATTTACCCTTACTTTGGCACAATGGTATTTAGGTGTTAACTCAATCCTTTAATACTTATTCTCTCAGCCTTCTGTATCTCCCACGTTTCACAACCTTCTGTGTCTGTGTCTCCATCTACCTGACAGTTTTTAATGACTGTGTTGATAGGGAGTTAGTCTTTTAATCTGATCAGCTACAGATGCTTCTTTCATTCCTACACACACCTGGTTCTTTCCTCAGAGATTAAGGATGCTGGCAAGGGAGAAGCTCATTTCAATTCTCACAGCTAAGGTCATTCTCTGGAAGTCTCTCTCAACTAGGAGCAGGAAATCACCCTGAGTCTTGAATCTTCTTTGAAGAAGCTATTTTTTTGTAACCTAATTCAGAAGTGTTATAATGAGATTACATAAAGAGGTTTCTTCCTTCATGCAGATGCAAAAAATTAACATGTTCTTGGGTCTGGGATTATTTATTTTCTCCTCCTTTCCTTACTGTCTCTAATTCTTCTCTGAGCTTTAGGGAGGGCTGCCTCTACAGGGAAAAATAAATCCAGCCACCTGAATTTATAGATAGATATGATCGCTATCCTAAGTTTCAGTTATGGGGAGTATCAAAGAGGCTTGACTTGAGAGCTACATAAACATTTTCATCCTAATTCACAAAAAGTGCTTATTCATAAATTTCTAGGGCACACTTTATTTTATATATAAATTGAGGGCTATCTTTTCATGATTTTTTGATATTGTCAATTTGTTGGCAATAAATTTTGACCTAATTGAATGATAACAGGACAATTTACATAATAAATACTAATTTTATACCTTAAAATGCTTACCAGTGAATAGACAAAAAAGTTTATGTAAGTGGGAAACATAGTATTTGATGCAACTTTCTAAGAAAGAAAGATTTTTAATCTAATTTTCTGTTTTTACACATGACTTGAAGGGAAAATGATTGGACAGTTTATGATATAAACAGCAGGAACATATCCCCGATGGGAATTGTTTTAGGAGGTTACTGGAAATGGAAGCCCAATGTCTACTGTGCCATCGTGTGAGGGAAGGGGTGCTGTGGCATCACACTCACCCATACACGCAGTGAGCCGCAGACACCAGCCAGTCAGGGCTGACCAGAGAAGCACCACACAACAGCCTGTTGTCAAAATATAGACTGACGACCCAGGGCCAGGCTCCTTCTTTGGCATGACTTCCTCCAACAATCTTTGGGTTGACTTCTTGAACTGCCATTTTTTTCCCACAGGCTATTAAAACAATTGAAGGAAGCATCTATTTTATTTTGTTGGATTTTCTCTGTTCGTGACTATTGAGTGAATCATTACAATAAAACTTGAGGCAACATACCAACTCTATTTAGAATTTCAAAGTAAAAGTTTGAAGGAAAACATGCCAAAATATTTACTTACATTTATGGTTACATTGTAACATAATCAGTGAATCCTGTGAGCACTGTTGACTGTAATAGAAGAACAATTATATTACAGAAATTGTGCACCTGGCATTTTACAGGAAAACATACTTTGGGTTATACCATTTTAGAAAAACAAAATGGACTTTTAAATGTTTCAGATTAAAATGCAGGGAGACTGTATTCACTGGAAAAAATTCCTCAGTTTCAAGCTTAACGTTACCATTTACTCTTTATGTGATTTTGAATAATCTCTTCAATATCCTTGAGACTTAGTTTTATCACCCATAAAATGGGGGCAATAGTCCTTTATTGGAATTTTGTGAGAAGAAAGTTTCCTGCAATGGAATTGTGCCTTAAATACAATGCACACTCACTAAATTGTGACCGTTGTTAGTTTGCTTGAACCAATATTGAATTTAATCATTCTTTAGTACAGATGTGACACATTATTGCTAATCAGAGAACTACTCAGTTCCCAAATCCATGCATGAGACTGTGGTCTTCATTCATGGAGTTCAACAGTGAAGGAATTCCAGTCCATGCTTCCAAGAGAGGTAGACATGAAAATGAAAATAGGCAAATATAAAAGAAATTTTAGGCATAAATAATTTATAAACTCATTACCTACTTAAATATTTTGCTATCAACTTTTTTCAAAGTCAAGAATTCTGTTTGAAACAAAAATTTAAACAAATTTGTTTTTAAACTGTGTTATACTTACTAACCACTAGAGGTCAGTATAGTACAAGGCATCATGAACTTGACCACAGCGTTTCCTGATGGAACTACTGCAGATTCTTGTCACATTAAAACATACACTTACACACATATATAATTTTAATGACTTCTATTTATGTATTTAATTGCAAGTAATTGTGAATGTTTTTCTAGGTGCTTGAAATTTTAGGGAAGAACAAAAGATACAAAACAGATCCAAATGTGATCACAAGCACAATCAAAACAATTCCGTGCTTCTCTCTTATACATGATAAAGTTTATTTGAAATCGCATGCATTCATGTTGCTGACTGACATATACTTTAGAAATAGAAGCAAATTCAAATAAAATATAATGGCATATACTTATATTTTATATTTACATTTAATATTTTAATAAGCAATGTCTTACTAAAGGCATATAAATATAGGTATATATATAAGTATTTATAATCCCCAAAGAAGCCTCAACTCCCCTTCTTGTTATCCTCTCATGGTTATTCTTTGTAGATTCTTTGTAACATGCTATCAAGTTTCATTTAAATTCTTTCTACATATAGCAAACATCAATGCAATCTATTCAAAATAATTCATTATTCTTAGATGTAAAGCAATGCTTCATATTTTGTCACAGGTAGAAAAATGATGAATTTCTTTTCAGTAAGCACAGCAGCTTAATAGTTAGCCAGAAAATTAAACATGATACCTCACTCTCCATGTATTTTGGTTAATCAAAATTTTTATACACACATACACTTTCTCTTGGTACAGAAAATGTGACTTAAATCATTGCATTCATACTTAGTCTAAGTATATTTAGAGACATGAGAAAGAAACAGAATCACTGTTCTGGACTTTGGCCCCGAGTCGGGGCTAGGTTAGCCCTCTGTGCAGGAAGAAAGACAACAAATACCATGACCTTGTCTTTCTCTCAGCCCAGTGGGACAGTATTATGATATAAGTGAGTTTATATTTATATATAAATATATATTTATATAAACTCACTTATTTATATAAGTGAGTTTGTATTTATTGGATTGACAAAATGAACTAATTTCTCTCCCAATATCTACCCAGCGATATGACATTTTTTCCTCTCAGAGGGTATGCTTTTTCATTTTCCTTTCCAGAACTGTTATTTAAAGTGAGTTGTTGCCTTGGGAATTTAGCACAATAGAGTAGACAAGTAGAGGACTTTGAAGTTCGACACAATTGGCTTAGAATCTCCCAACTGCCTGTAGGTTTTATGAACGTGTGCAAGTCACACGTCAACACTGGACTTTTATTTCCTCATCTTATAGTAGAACGATACTACCTAAGCCATAGGGCTTTTGTATGGGCTAAAAAGAAATCTCTGTGATATTCCTACCAATGTCACATGATAGACAATATAACATCTAATATGCACTTAATATCATGTATCTAGTGCCATACTTACAACACAATGTTAATAAATGTATGGTCATATTTCCCTTGATATCTAGGACTGCTACTGTGGTTGTCCAAAGAATTGGAAGAAAGAGAAGTCCACTGCTGGGAGCTGCATGAATTGAACAAGATTCCCAGTCTTGTCTAGTCAGATTGCTACTACCCTGTTGAAAGGTCTTCTCACTGCGGTGGGAAAAAGTCCAAGTCTTGCTTATGCCTCACAATAGGAGGAAAAAATGGGAAAACAAGGCATCGATTTTCATAGTTGGAAGAATCCAACTCCCTTTCCTTATTTTTGGTACAACCACTCGTGCAAGGGTGTTTACAAAAGCTCAAGTTTCATAGGGTAGTAAATACAATCTCTGCAATAAAATCATGAACTCTGTCTGATGGTCTATCAACCTGGGCAATGTAGCTAATCAAGGAAAGGATTAAGGGTATCCCCTGGCTTAATATGATGAAAGGTTAAAGTAGCTCTATCTATAAATATTAGCTCTTTCAAATGATATAACTACAATAGGACTATCATGTAAGTAAGAGGATACCAGTATTTTTGTTGCTATGCTAAGCATGGAATAACCTAGTTTTGGTCTAAAACACACATAATTAAAATGATTTTTTCCCCTATATTTTCTGTTTTGTTCTTTTGCTTACCCGTTCTTAAATACCTCTAAAATATTAATTTAAAAAATTCTCAATATACAAACTAACCAGGATCTTTGTGGGAATGTCATTTGAGTCATGTCTTATCAAATGGAAATCTAGAAGTCTGTTTTCTCACTTACAGATGCTTTATTTCACTGCCAATAACTAACAAGATCAGTCAAGGCCCAGCAAACATTCATATAAAACATTAAACTGCAAAGTTCTGTGCAATTGAAAATATTCCCTTATCAATTTGTTTTATTGGTTGAAATTTAAAACTCGTAACTTTTCATGAATAGCTGAATACTTACATACTTTCATTTTTTACCATTAAGTATGTTAAACAAAAATGGACAACCTAATGTACCACCAACGGCATCTTAAAACCCTTGTCTGTGGTTTTTGAAGTTTTTTTTTTTCCCACCCATAGCTGATCTTTAATAGAACTGTAAATTGCAGAAGTCAATTTCAGCATAAAATACCATTAATGTTCAAACAGGAGAAATGACATCATCCAAGCTAAAACAGATCTTTGAATACAAGAAAGACGCTGCTTTTTGAAACAGTCTCAAAAGTTGTGAACCTAATTTTAAAGAACAAAAGAGAAGATGGAGGCACAACTGTGGGTGTGGATTTCTTCACTTAATATTTATGTTCTATTTGCTAAAACAGAGAAAATAACACCACGACTTTTCCCTGTGTTTCTTTTGATGGTACTTAATTTGTGTTGCAATCATTAGTCTCATCAACTTTGGGCCTATTTATCCCAACTCTTACAATTTCTTTTAATGTGATTTAACTGTTTATGAATCTGGGCTTAAAAATAAAAGGGTATGGAATTAAAACTTATTAGACCACTACTATACGCTTGACAACTATACAAGCCATATCTCATATATACGGTAAGACAGTCAAATAATATGTACTATTTATATATATATCATATATATGCCACTTAGAATAAAGTAATAAATATATTAACAATCATACCATATATATTACTCTGTGTGTGTTTATTACTAAGTGATGTTATCAGATAGGATCAATTAGATTCAGTTTAAGATTACCTAAAGAAAAAAAGTTAAATAGATTTCAAGGTTATATGGTTAGTTTGTGTTATTAAAACTTCACTGACTTGAAAAGTTTATCATCTTTCCAATTCAGGAACAGATTTTGAGACCCACCTTGGTGTTAGTATTAAGCTGCCATTTGGTGCTGTGCTTAATGTTACAAATGGCCCATTTCCAGCAGAGGAAACTGACAATGATGAGTTTTCACTCCTGTGGAAAAAAATAAATACAGACAAAACAAAAAGCACAAACGAAAAGCCATCAGTCAAATTTCTACTGATTGAATGCTGTTGACATTGAGAAAACTTATGGAATTCCATTCAGAGATTATTTTTTAATTTTTTTAAATTTATTTTAATTTTTTTTTATTTTTTACATCATTGTTGATTTTTAAACAATATTTGCTTCCCCCCACCCCCTCAGGCAGAAATTAATATTTTAACATAAATTGTCAAGTATTTTACTATCCAAAGGATGGTACAAGTCAAAAATGGAATCACCCATAATGATATAAAATTTAATTTTAATTAATGTATCTGGTTTTATCACTTGATGTTTCTATATTATTCAATGGTTTCCATAATGTTCAATTTTAATGACATCCTCACAGAATTGCTGTTTCCCAATTTATGAAACTACTACCAGAGATAACTCTTTATAACAGAAAGACTATTCTGCATGGCAGGCAAACATCTGTTTATCAAATATTTGCTCTTCTCATTTGCTGTGAATTTTCTCCCTCCTGTTGGAAGCCCTGGACACCTATCCCCTTCTCCTTAGTTCAAGTTGGCATGTAAGTATCAATTGTCTGTCTTAGTCTCATATTTGTAATGGAAATCATATATATATATATATATGCAATATATATACACACATATGACAATATGATTTTCTCCTATAAATCTATTTTATGTCAATTTAATGATTAGCTCAACCAAAAAATCAGAAGTGGAAGGAAGGAAAAGTTTTCTTCTCTCTTGCTTAGGTTCCTAGTGTCATTCTCCTGTGTGCCGACATGCGTTGGACATTTTTCTAGGTAGCTTCTCTGTTCCTGACTCTCGATGACCAATGCTTTTCGAGTGTGTTCTACAGATGAGCACAATTAGCTTCAGCCGGGAATGAGACCCGCATAGTCAGGTCGTCGAGGTGGGGTCCAGTGATCTCTCTTTTAATAAACCCTTCAGTTGATTCTGACACCTTTTAGCCAGTGAGCTACTGCCACAGCCAAATAGAAATTTGTTTCGTTGCTTGTTCAGGGATCTGCTTTCGTGTCCAAAGTGATCTCTAATTATTTGATAAGCAATCTGTTTTAAGACCCTCCTAACTGCCTGAGGGAATTTACTAAAAATATGTCTCAGAGACGTGACCTTAAGACTCTTGTGCTAATTCCTCTGGAAATTCAAAGCAAAATGTGGGAAAATTAAATTGAAAAAATACCAAAAATTTATCGATAAATCAGTTCTTTTAATCTCGTATCTATTACATGCATATAGCTGGCATTTCACCATAACAAAACTGGCAGTTAAATATTCAATATAAACCAATGCTAGAAGAAAGGAAGCAGAGGCAGGCTTTTAAGAATAAAGAATATTTGGTAAATGCTGATTATTCTACCCTAGAATTTGCAAGTGTTGTTTTCTCTATCAAGCAGAGAAACTGAGATTATGTCTGTATGTGGAGGAAAAAAGACGCACACATATTTTATATTCTGAGATTGTCTTCTTTCCATTTTTGGCTCAGACTTAACATGAGAAAACAGACTACAGTTAACGGTGGAGATCAGTTATTTTGTGTTTGCTGGAGAAACAGGATAAAACATTCTTTTTAATAAAAATTTATAAAGTAATTGCATCATTAAATTGTTATAGTAAATATTGATATCAGCAACCTAGCGGTGGTAAACAGGACCATCAGTTCATGAAAACATTTCCAGGTGTCAGTGTGGATATTAGAATGTGGAATCTAATTTGAGACAGATGAGCTGAATTTTCAAATCCTGTCAAGTTGAATTCATCCTTTCAGACTGAATATAATTTATTTTAGTTTGTATTCACAGTAAGCTGAATATATGTGGCAGAAGGAAGTTTGCAACAAACTTTACCTTACTTAAAAAAAGTGTCTTAAAAAGGACAATAAAAATATGTTTAAAATGCTATTGGCAGAAATACAAATTTAACAACTACATATGAAACCACATTTGAAAAACAAAGTCTCAAAACTGAAAAATTGAATTGAGATGATATATTATATAAAATTCTGTAACTGAAGTGTGCAGCTGAGTCCTTTTCTGCCTCAGTTTCCTCTTCTTGCAAGAAAACTAGTTATTTTTATAATTGTCAAGATTACATCTTGAGTCTGCATTTTTTTTTTAATTCTGAAAATGTCCCAGCTCTGCAGATTTAGAAAATTGTATCACACATTTGCATAGTTGTTGGAAATAATAAAAGTTTGGTATCATACAGAAATGCCATTCCACACAGTAGTACTTTCTTGCCTTTGACTACCTATTTCTAAACCTTCATTAACATTTTTATAGGTTATGTACCCTTAGAGTGCTCCTCAACTCCAGGGAATCCTTATTCTATGTGAGCAAAAAGGCATATAGATGCAACCAACTATTTTTTATGTCATATCTGGAGTATAAAAATATAACCATAGATGAATTCTAGGGAGAGAAAGAAGGCTCTCCCAAGGTGTCTTGCACAGCATTAAATCTCCAGTTTCTTTTCTCACACTCTGCTTATGGTTCCCTCTTTTGTCTCACTCCTCACACTGTATTTGCTGTGATAAGATTTCCTCCCTGAAGCAGGAGCTTAGGTAGGGTTGTTTGAAGCTTTTGGACCCAGGAAAACTAAAAAGAATAATAACACATGTTGCAAATGCTGCAGCCAGGCGCTGTAGCTCATTTCACACCCCAAAAGGTTTAAGTAATGAATCTTGCCAGGTGGGATTAGCCTGAAAAGGGTTTTGGAGAAGGAAGGACCTTTCTTTTCAGATTGGAAAGACGGAAGGGGATTGATTTGGCAGGACAGAAGGAGGAGGAGAGCATCTGAACAGGCAGGGGAATGATGAATGAAAGAGTTTGAGAAAAGCATCCCGCAAGGGGAGTCAGGACATGTGGGTAGTTAGGTAGCCCCATGAGTGGACCGGACACATTTCAACTACAATTGCTTATTCATTCACCACATTTACAGCAACAGACTTAGCACAATTAACTCTTAGCACCCAGGTATATAATAAATCTTACATTTTTTTCTGATATCAGCTCTTAACATTTGTGATACATAGAGGAAAGAAAAAAATGCAACAAAAGTAATCTTCACCTAATGAATTAACTATTTTGGGAAAACTATTTTACTAAGAACAATAGTGTAATGGTATTAAGAGGGAAACAAACTTCTGCCATCTCTTACTGACAACATGACAGATAAAAAAGATACTCAGGGAGACTCATAGAGCCAGGATCTCCATGGACAACATAGTCTTAAACCCTGAACCTTGACCTTTATGATGTTATTTTTTCAGCTGCTTATGGGCTTTTTATTTTTGAGTAAGACATATATGACATCTACCTCCACATTTGCTATGAAGTTTTCTCAATAAATATATTTTTCCATGCATTATTACTCCATAAGGACATAATGTAAAATTTCCTTTAGAATTTAGAGTTGGGAGACATCTGTACTCCCTATGGAACTGGTAATAAATCCTAGCTTCTCATGAAAATTATGCCTTTTAAAATTTTTCCTTTTAGTGTGAGTTGCCAGGAATCTCAGACAGGAATGTCAGCAATTACACTGATCCTATATGTTCTATCATTGACCTCCTTATTTTCATCTACAAGTCTATTAATATTATAGATCATATTCTTTATTTAAAAATATCCTCAGTTTCTTTTGAAAAAGAAAAAAAAGAATGAAATGAAGTAAAGGAAAAAAGAAGGAGGGAAGAAGAAAGCATAAAATAGGGCATAGGAAAGAGGGAGGGAGAGAGAAATAAAGGCGATAAAAAAAAGTGGAAAAGGAAGGGAAAAATTGAAGGAAAAGAGGATGAAGGTGGGGGCCTCCCTGGTGGCGCAGGCAGTTGAGCGCAGCGCTGTGAAGCTGTCCTCAGCCTCTGCAGCGCCGGTTCTATCCCTGCTGGCCTCAGAGCAACCCACATGGTGAGCAGATCTCACGTGTCTCGCCCGGCCCGCTGCTTCCCTCAGCAGTGTATTTCATCAGTCTGCCTGTTCTGTTCCCCACTCTGTCTCTGGTGAATCCTCTCACCCTCCTGCGCATCTGGCCTGTACCCCACCTCTTGTATAAATAAAAATAAATCTTAAAAAAAAAGAGGATGAAGGTACTTTTCCATTAGATTTATCAATTTTACTCAAAATTGTCCTTGGTCTCACAGAACGTATAGCTTTATTTATAGGTTGAACAGTTGGAAATAATTTTTAGAAGGAAATAGATGAACAAGAAATTTTTTGTTCATTTCACAAGGTGAAAGTTTTCTATCCTTACATGTTTCTATTTTAGAATATAGAAACCTCCACCTTCCCAAAGAACCAGAACCTTCCCCAAAAGTAAAGGATATTGGTTTGGGAAAAAAATATAATCTGTTCTTTTACATAATAAACGAACCAGTATACAGTGCAGAAAACTACTTGTAAGTGCTCCAAATCATACCAATGCATAAAAAGGATTTTCTGAACTTTTTGTGTATATAATTATATTTTCTGTAACTTCCTTGGCATATAAATCTCCCTCAGGTAACAAAATACCTAATAAATTATATGTCAAAGTAAAAGTTCAAGACTAGGAGAATTGTTCGTGAGCTGTATCAATACAAATAAATGACATGTCACATAAAAGAGGCCCTTCATTAGCAATAATATGTTTTCACGTACTTCATGAAAAAAATCAAGAATTTATCTAACAAGTAATAATGCCAGACTGGTAACCAAAAAATTAGCCTTTTTTTTTTCACTTTTTACCCTTGTAACAATGGCCTTGTTAGAGAGGTCTATTTTTATTTTAAGCTATGGGGAAATATTTTGCAGATGTTAAAAGAGACTGTCAAAAAACAAAATAAAGAACCATTTGGATTAATTCAGAAATTGTCCTCAAGAGTATTTAGCTCTGGGTACAGTAGAAAAAAATGTTTGATGTATTGTTTAGTTTCTGTTTGCTTTGTCTGAAAGTTAACAAATAGAAAAATACTCAAAG